GTTTGCTTTTGGAAATTAACAGAAGTGTGCTCATGTCCAATAGGACATTCACACCAGGAACCTCCAAATTCCTCATTCTTTTTTGAGCAATATACGGACTGAAATTAAATTAATATGACATTTTTTAAGATCATTTTAAAGAGTTGCTCTGTTCTATGTGAACATGGAAAAAACTATTTTTGTTAACGAAAAAGCTCTTTAAGTTATTTAAGGCTTAGCAGAAAAAATGGGAACTGATGCAGAACAAGCTTTTGTCACACAATTTTGATTGATCATCCGACAGCATCATTCAGTAGGAAATCATCACTTTAAACTATCGTCAGCATCAAGGTAAGAATTATCTTTAAAAACACTGCAATTACTTTTACCCTTCTTCGAGAAAAAAAAATGTCACGCTTGCCATAATTGCCTTGTTTTCTGGTCCATGAAAGGTTACTTGAAGCTGCTGAAAGTCAGCCATCATCAGCCAGTTATGCCAAAGGGATGGCACATGTGTGACACTTTTTTAGCAACAATAGACTGAAATCAATAGATGGACAGTTGCATAGAAATATCTCCCATCTGTTCTACACAGACAGAGAAGATTGCAATGCACCTGCTGCTCTGTGCAGGATTGTGGATTATCCCTCTTCATCATTATCACAGTGACACAAGACACAGAAAGAGATGATAAAATGGAAATATGACAGGAAGACAGATCAGTAAATGAATGACTAAATGTAAAATTTAAAGCCCCCTTTAAAAAAAAACATTTTGCATAACCATTTATAATTAATTTATTCATTTTTAAAAATGCTGCTGAATGAATTTGAATTATTAATTGGCAACAACCGGCAGACATCCCTCCTCTAAAGAATTGTTAGACTTGTAGTAAAGCAGAAGTACCTGGTCCTTCGAGCTGCATTATAATTACATTCAAATACTGTCAAAAAGGGTTAAAAGACCAGTTAAATGTGAAAGGCATGTCAACATTATATAGTTGTCTTATACTTCACACAGAAAATCAATATTATTTAGTATTAGGCAATGGGAGTAGTATTTTTTGCCAATATGCAAAAGAATAACCCAAAATTATCTAATTCAATCTATTATCTAATAATCTAAATAAAATGTCAATGCCTTAAAATTCATCTAACTCAGTACAACATTTTAAAGGAAGGATAGCAACATTTACTTGGGAGCGTATGTCTGAGGCAACAGCAAACAAAATGATCATGTCATGAAAATAAATAATGCCTCGATGATTTGTTTAGTTGTTTAATAGTAGGCAGAGGATGTGACACGCTTCTGTTTTCCTTGTACCTGTTTATCAAGTACCTTGAAATCTATCAATATCTTATAAACAAAGAAAGACTACTTGGAGAATTTAGTATGTTTTCATGTTGTTTGGTAAACTGCTAATTATCAGTAATTCATAATGCACTATGTTTGGAAAACTCCATGTGAATGTGAATTCCATGTAAATGTATAACTTTAGCAGCCAATATGAGGAAGCCTTATTAATGATGTCAGTTCAAACCAGGTGTAACATAGTGCAGTGTTGCTGTGGACCTTGGAAGTCAGTCATAATAAAAATGAAACAAGATTATAAAAAGGCCTCTTGAACTATACTCTACTATACAAAAAGTCTGTTCTTTGAAATTATTTTACATAACATAGACACAAATGTTGTGTTTTAATTTATTTATTTGTTGTATCGTCCAGCACACAAGATGGAATATAAACAGCAAAGGATGTTGAGTTGCTTGACTGGACTTGTTTGGATCATTTAGTAGCTGGCCATGGTGCTCTCCAGCCAGTCGTTGAAGATGCAGACCTAAAAATGAAATGAGACCAGTGTTAGAACAATGAATCAGCATAGCATTGCAGTTCAGGATGACATAATAAACTGGACACGGTGTGTTGATTAAATATCCTAGTTACCTTGGCATAGACACCAGGGTGGTCCCTCTCAGCACATCCATAGCCCCAGGACACAACACCCTGCAGCTCACCGTTGCACACAACGGGGCCACCAGAGTCACCCTGAGAACAGAGAGTATAGTGTGTGAAATGACTTTAAAAAGTTTAATAAAACTCAACAAGCCATACCAGGGCCATTTCATACAGTTATTGCGTTATTCCTGCCTGAATATTGAATTACGTACCTGGCAAGAGTCCTTGCCTCCCTCCAAGTATCCAGCGCAGAACATAGCATCAGTGATCATGCCAGGGTAGGAGTTGTCACAATCCTTGAAGGACAGGATGGGGATGTTCAAGCACTGCAGCTTGTTCCTGTCAGCAGCTGGAGATCAAGAGACAAAGAAAGAGATTAACCTGGAGCTACATAGCAGTAAAAACATACATGTTGAGAGCACAATGCAGGAGTTATTACTCACTGGAGCTCATGGTGTTGCCCCATCCAGAGACTGTGCACATGGTGCCAGCGGGAGCACAGCTGGTGGGCAGAGCCACGGGCTGCACGTACTGGTTGAGGGTGGCGGGCTTGCTCAGCTTGATCAGCATGATGTCATTGTCAATGTTGTAGGAGCTGTATCTGGGGTGGCGGATGACACGGGAGGAGCTGATGAACTGCTCGGTGTTCTCGGTGACCCTGATGTTGTGCTCTCCAAGACGCACCTCCACGCGGCTGGAGAGGAAAAAGAGGACCAGTGGCAGCTGAGTTTCATGATGCCTGTTAAAAGCAGATTAATTCATGCAAAACCTTGTTTTGAAATATCAAGGAGTGACGTACGACTTGTAGCAGTGAGCAGCAGACACAACCCAGTTCTCGTTGACCAGGGAGCCACCACAGAAGTGATATCCAGAGTTCAGAGACACCTGATGGGGCTGGGAGTAGGGTGTGCACTCAACCCCTCCGACGATCTTGTCGTCCTCCGTGGCAACTGAAAACACACACATCAGCAGTAAGTTAGAAGTTTGCTTAAAGTGCTCTCTACCAGAAAAATCTCTTTGAATGCAAAAAGTCCTTTTGTGTATTTTTTGTCAAACCCCAAAGTCTGCATTATTCATCTGAGTACTGAGGCTGGTTAGAGATCAATCAGCCATTCTTAGATTCAAAACCCCTCCCTTTAGGGAGACGCTATGATTTTTCTGGGCAAAGTTCTGGGATGAAGGCCAATAGACTGTTAGCAGAAAGGAAGGAAATTTGCTTGTGAAGAACTTCAGACTCACAAGCAGCTCCGATGAGCAGAACGAAGACCAGAGACCTCATGGTTGCTGTGTGATCTTGTAGATGAGAGGACTTACCCTGGAGCCCCGGTTTATATCCGCGCTCAGGAGAACTGCCCTGCTCTCTGGCTGTCCTCATTGGTCAGTAAGGAGCCAATCTCTGTAGCGGGATGTTGAGATTAGGTAGTTCATTTCCAGACTTTTCATTTAAGAAGCTTTATGTCAGTAAATTTGGAAACTGACCAAATGAATGAATATGGATCATATTGGTGCCTGGATTATGTATTTATAAAAAACAATATTTCTATGACCCATAATATCTAAACAATTTGTTAGTTAAAACTATGTGATCACTATATTTTTTAATTTGTGTCAAATGAAACCTTTCTTAAGAAAATTACTATCATTGCTGCATGTGGGCCACACATGACTTGTTAGATTACGATTAACACTCACAGCCCAATTAATTGTTGTTGGGGTTTTTATATTATGAGTTAACTTGGCACACATGATGACAGAGATGTTGAACATTTCAATGTTCTTGGGAAAACTTCTAAAAATAAGTACATTGTATTTATGTGTAGTATAGGTGCTGAAATATGGTGTCATACAGTCTTTATACTTTCAATTACTCAATAACATTTCAGAGAGAAATATTGTCAACTTTATATACCCTTTAGCTCTCAGCAGAACTACGGTTTAGATATAAATCATAAGCTCTGAAATATGATTTATTGGTTTATGGAGGTCATCTTTATAAAACACATAAAAACATCAATAATTAAACAGTCTGTAAGTGAATCATTATTCATATGAGTACTTAATTTCTTTTACTCAAATATTTGAATGCAGCTTTATCAGTGGATTATTCAGTGTTTCTACTTTTTTTGGTAAAGTTCTGACTCTAGCACCTATTTGTTGAAAGTTGGCTCATGTTTCTCCTGTCAGATTGCACAAGTACACAAGTCTCCTCTATATTTAGATTTGGCAAACACAGTATCTCACAGCTGTGTGTTTCTCAGTAGCTCTTGCCTTAAAACTAAATACACATATAAGGGGTGAGGCTGCCTTTGAGAAAGTAATTATAAGCTTTGTTATTTTCTGTTTTAAATGCACATTTCCATAAATAGATAGAAACCAGCGTTCGAGGAAGTAAAAGTAGCATAAATTGGATATTGAATAAAAACGTTATGAGTAAAAAGAAGTTAATGGCACAGAGCAGTGCCATCACCAGAAAATAAGGTGATAAATATTTGAAAACAGAGACAAGGCAACAAAAACAAAGATGAGCACAGAAATTATACAAGTGTATACATATATTTATATATTATATATAAACTCTGCCAGCCTAAGGACCTCAAGAAAGTTCTTTAACAGAACAAATATATAATTTAGAATCATGTTAATTTGTCTTTCTCAGTTCAAATTGGATATATAAAGTTTACCCAGATGGAAAAAAATACTTTTAACCAATACTGATGGCCTCATTTCTAAGATTATATTGTGCCAATGTTCTAATGGTCTAACAGTGAAAACAATATATTTATTTATGTGCTGATACAAGTGATGGTGTAGCAGTGTGGTGGTTAATTTAGAAATAATAATAGTTTTCATTATTACTTCTGTGCTTCATATCAACTTATGATCAAGAAAATCTGTATTTTTATTTCATTGTCATGTTTATTTATTTACTTTTTGCTTCCCTGTTCACTTAAGAACACATTCTTATTAACAATAATGGCCTGTAACCTGCTGAAAACCTCTACAGATTGTCTAAATAAGTCATCTATGTCACAATGATATAAATAATTGCACAGAAGAACCAATGATTCATTTCAAACACTTTATTTCTTCAGCTCCAGCAAAAACAAAGTTGTCATTTGGACAGTCAGTCATGCCTGGTTGTCTGATGTAGCGGTAGGGGGGAGTTAATTGCTGGCCATTGTGCTGTACAGCCACTCAGTTTGCACACAGACCTGAAATTGGAAAGATATTAGTCAGTTTGTTACAGTGTAACTACATTAAAGAGGACAATATTTATATTTTTAGCTGATCCAGTGAAATGTTACCTTGGCATAGACACCAGGGTGGTCTCTCTCAGCACATCCGTAGCCCCAGGACACAACGCCCTGCAGCTCACCGTTGCACACAACGGGGCCACCAGAGTCACCCTGAGGAAGAGAAAGAGCATTATTATAAGCACACAAAAATGTCCAATTCAAAAATAAAGTGATAACAAATCAGATCGACACACACCTGGCAGGAGTCCTTGCCTCCCTCCAGGTATCCAGCACAGAACATGGTGTTGTCAATCATGCCGGGGTAGGAATTGTGACAGTCCTCATCAGAGAGGATGGGGATGTTCAGACACTGCAGCTTGTTGCTGTCAGCAGCTGCAGCAAGAAAACAAAATGGAGGTGTCCAGTAGGGGTGGATGGTTGGAGCTTGTAGTGCATTTAGACCGATTTCAGAGATCTAAGTTTGTCAGAAATAACTGTTTTCTACTCACTGGAGCTCATGGTGTTGCCCCATCCAGAGACTGTGCACATGGTGCCAGCGGGAGCACAGCTGCTGGGCAGAGACACGGGCTGCACATACTGGTTGAGGGTGGCGGGCATGCTCAGCTTTAGCAGCATGATGTCATTCTCAAGGGTGTAGCGATTGTAATATGGGTGTCTGATGATCTTGGAAGCACTAATGTACTTCTCGCTACCCTCAGTGAGTCCTATGTGGTGTTCTCCCATACGCACCTCAATACGACTGAAAGAGATAGAAGATAGAAGATGGTACAGAATGGATGCTGGTTTTTTATGTTTAGATGATTTTTTGCTCATCAGATAAATTAAGTGAGGCCTAAAAAATATCTCAAGCATGCTTACGACTTGTAGCAGTGAGCAGCGGACACAACCCAGTTCTCGTTGACCAGTGAGCCACCGCAGAAGTGGTATCCAGCATTCAGAGACACCTGATGGGGCTGGGAGTGGGGTGTGCACTCATACCCACCGACAATCTTGTCATCCTCTGTGGCAACTGAAAACCAATGTAAGACAGCCAGAAATAATTATTAGTTTGCTGCAAAAGATATGCAAAAGTGCACGAGGCATGAAAGCACAGCCTGCTCTACAAATACAGTATCACACTCACAAACAGCTCCAAGCAGCAGAACAAAGACCAGGGACCTCATGGCTGCAGTGTGTGATATGTTAGATCACCTGAATCTATCCCTGTTTTATATCTGCTCCAAGCTGCCTGGTTGGTTCAACAATTGCCAATCAAAATAAAATAAAAAAAAACCGGGTGAGGTACTGACACCAGATATAGGTGGTTCATTACAGGTGATTGACCCATAAGTCAAGGCCTGCGATCCAAAAATATTCGAGCCAATATGACTGAAACAGCTGGATTATTCACATAATGCCCTTCATCAAGGCTGAGTTACTGATCAGTACTAGAAGGGTCAGCCAAGAGTGCATGAAACTTTACTTGCAACAAGCCTAACATAATGACCAGCACATAATGGGTGTATATCTTATAGTGAAAATAATCCATTCAGAAAAATGTTCAATTTAGGATAATTAGTGTACTGGCAAATAATACTGTAGTCCACTGCATCTTTTTTTTAATCACAGTCCAATCTATTTGATTGCTATGACATTTAACAGTCACAGTTAACAACAACTGTTGTGCAGTTAAAAATGCAATCTATTTAAAACCTAAAAAAGTTAAAATCCTATTAACTATTAATCCCATTATGTGGATTTGGAGTTGTCAGACTAATTTTTAAGGAATCATGTTCTTGTTAATCGTCCACTAATACCTGAACTAATGCTGAAATTGCAGCAGTGTTCACCAACAGCAGATCTGCACTTAGATCAGGGTAATTGATTGTGTAGATTTTTTTGCTGTGATTTTGATTATTATTACTAATTATTATTATTATGTAATCAGTTATATGTTTAATATATATTGTATTAATTATATGTTAAAACAAATTTACTAAGAAATCAGAGATCCTTGATTGCCCAATTAAGAATGGGAATCCTTCCCCTGGCACTTGAGGTCAGCAGATTTAAAAATATCCCAGAAGAACAGAGACTTTGTGAACTATGTGATTTACGAGAAGTGGAGAATGAATCTCATCTTCTTTTATACTGTCCCTTCTATGATGAACTAAGAGCACCTGTTGTAAATTAACTGTTTGCTCAAAACCCTGAAATATTTTGGAGTAATGATGATGTTAGGATGGAATGTTTGTTTACCTTTAATGTTTATAAGTTAGCCTCTTTTGTTACTAAAGCCTGGATGAAACGTCAGGATGATTTATATTGTTAATGTTAGTATTGTTTAGCATCTACTTTTGGTTTTTGGTCTGTTTATGTTTTATAATGGTGTCTTATAAGCCCTTGTGGGCTGGGCATGCTAATGCATGACACAATAATAATAAAAAAATTCATTCAAATTCAAATTCATATATATCTTTGTATTTCTCTCAACTCTTCAAAATCCCTTTTCACTTTAACAATGTTGCAAAAACATCATCAGATTAATTTTAAGACTGAAAATAAGTTTTAAAATAAAGTCAGTCTCTTCACTATAATCATGTGCAATCCCATTTAAAGTTTATTCACTGAAAGTTGGACTTACTGGTGATTTCATACAGTAATTGTGTGATTAAGTGATTTTGTTTTTTGGTGTTACTTGTCTCTTGTCACTTCACTGAATCAACAGTTTTGAGGTTTGCTATCAAAAGACACGTGGGTTGGTTTTCCTGTGAAAGGCAAATTCAACAACTGTGGTTGTGAACCAGGCCATCTGCAGAGCTGCAACTGTCTTCTCACAGCACAAATTCATCCAAGGTTAACGATTATGAAATACATTCTGTGCTAAACACAGATGCAATGCCATACAGTATATAGGCCTACAGAGTACTCTGCAAAAATGAGATAAACAATACAGTATTTGTTGTTCCTCAGATTAGTGAAATCATTTTAAGAACATACAAGCATTATGCACTCAGAGATCAATCAATCCATGTCATATGAATGTCATATGATGCTTTTTCCATTTAAATTCATAAAATGTTTTCTCATCCAATGTCCCTCCTCCAGAACTGTATTCAACATGCTATGTAAGAGATTTACTAATAATACAATTTCACCCATGCAGTATGTCAGTGCACACCTCCCCACAGTAAACAAAATATTTGCTTTTCCAATACCCAGCATTTTTTTTCCAGGATCCTGATTGGTCGAAGATAATTTCTGGGGTGTGTTCAGCAGGGATCCAGGAGCGGTACCATCTATATAAACCAGGACTCCAATAGAAGTCGCTCATCAACAGGATCACATAGCAACCATGAGGTCTCTGGTCTTTGTTCTGCTCATCGGAGCTGCTTGTAAGCATATGCCTTTCTTTTTGTGTTCATTAGTTCCAGTCATTAAAAAAACTGTCTCTTGGTTGCTGACTATTTGGCCTCCTGTGTGTGTTTTCAGTTGCCACGGAGGACGACAAGATCGTCGGAGGGGTTGAGTGCACACCCTACTCCCAGCCCCATCAGGTGTCTCTGAACTCTGGATATCACTTCTGTGGTGGCTCCCTGGTCAACGAGAACTGGGTTGTGTCTGCTGCTCACTGCTACAAGTCGTACGTCACTCCTTGATATTTCAAAACAAGGTTTTGCATGAATTAATCTGCTTTTAACAGGCATCATGAAACTCAGCTGCCACTGGTCCTCTTTTTCCTCTCCAGCCGCGTGGAGGTGCGTCTTGGAGAGCACAACATCAGGGTCACCGAGAACACCGAGCAGTTCATCAGCTCCTCCCGTGTCATCCGCCACCCCAGATACAGCTCCTACAACATTGACAATGACATCATGCTGATCAAGCTGAGCAAGCCCGCCACCCTCAACCAGTACGTGCAGCCCGTGGCTCTGCCCACCAGCTGTGCTCCCGCTGGCACCATGTGCACAGTCTCTGGATGGGGCAACACCATGAGCTCCAGTGAGTAATAACTCCTGCATTGTGCTCTCAACATGTATGTTTTTACTGCTATGTAGCTCCAGGTTAATCTCTTTCTTTGTCTCTTGATCTCCAGCTGCTGACAGGAACAAGCTGCAGTGCCTGAACATCCCCATCCTGTCCTTCAAGGATTGTAACAACTCCTACCCTGGCATGATCACTGATGCTATGTTCTGCGCTGGATACCTGGAGGGAGGCAAGGACTCTTGCCAGGTATGTAACAAGTTGACTCTGCAGAGGTCCTTATCCTAGACCAGTGCATCTCAGTTTTAACATAACACATTTTTCTTATTCTCTCTCTCTAAGGGTGACTCTGGTGGCCCCGTTGTGTGCAACGGTGAGCTGCAGGGTGTTGTGTCCTGGGGCTATGGATGTGCTGAGAGGGACCACCCTGGTGTCTACGCCAAGGTAAACTGAACATAAAAAGAGACAAAAAATATATCTTTATCATAAATTATATAGCTATTTGAAATTTCACGTTGTGCATGCCCAGTTAAAATTAATTCATATGCCGCTAGCTGTTCATGCTAACACACCTTGTTCTGTCTCCATTCCCAGGTCTGCATCTTCAACGACTGGCTGGAGACCACCATGGCCAGCTATTAAGTCTGATCCTGCGACCACTATCTTGCTCAGCTGCCGTTCTTCTATCATTCTAACAACAGTGTTGTTGTAGTGTTTTGAACATTGTGCAGTCATTTTCCATCTGAGTCAATAAAGTCTTACATCTTGACTTCAACACAACTTGTTCTTTCAATTTTTTGCCTGTGTCTTCCTACAATGCTAAAAAAACATGCTTTGATACTCAACTATTGTTTACTGCTCTTCAAGATTCGAATAAGGCAATTACTGATTATCTTACATCTAATGTACACTTTATTTGACATCCAAACTAGTGAAATGACAGTACAAACATATGCCATATTTAAACAGTTGATAACTTATGACTTAGGTTCTTTTGATTTTCGTCAGTATTACCAAAACTCTTGTCAAATATAATCAACTCTGCAAACAGCCCATTACCTTGATAGAGTCACGTCAATCAGGCAAATTTATTTATAGAGCAAACAACATCCCTGCAGAGATATGAAATAAATAAGCAGATACAACAAGTACAACAGACAACAAGACTGTTGTTTTGTTAATAATTGTGAGATAATATGAAATAGCAGAAAATCCTCTCCCTGACAGACATCTGTGTAACATATTTAGCGGCACAATATTGGACTGTATGTTACAAACTGAGTCAAAGTAAGTGCATCCCAGTGAATGCGACAATAATACTGCCTCGGTGTGCTGTATTCAGTGATTATTACTGTTGTTTAAAGGTATACTATGCAGTTTTCCGGTTTTGTCAAACAGCTACCCCTGGAGTCGCTGCGGAGTACTTGTATTTAACATTAACTGTCGTAAATACCACTCACCAGAGCTGTCTCTATATACGGCTCTGTGTCTCTGCATTCAAGGCCTGATTTGGCGGGACGCCACCTTTCAGACTTGCATAGCTGGTTCTGCCAGCGGTGTCCCTCTCCTGAGGGGTATTGCACAAAAGTAGAATAAAGAAATCCAGGATAATTGAGCAAGCGCGGCTTGACCTAGCCTGCTCGGTGCATCCTGGCTTAATTGGTTGCACGTTTGCCGAGCCAGGATAAAAAGGTGTGGCTATGTTAAGCCGGGTGTAGATGGTCGGGATGAGTGCGTGTTCACGGAATATTGAAATAGACCTCGCGATCGCTCACAGAATCACTGATGGGAACATGGATAAGAGTCGCGCTTCATATTTCACGGCCGCTGAAAAACAGCTCCTGATGGAGTTCTATGAAGAGGTGAAAGATATCATGAGAAAAAAAGGCAATACCAATGCCATAATTAAAGACAGAGAGAAAGCCTGGCAGACAATAGCGGACCAGCTTAATGCTTAAGTAGTCCAAAACTGTACAATGAATAAACAGTGCTCCACTGGAACTGTCATAATTAGGCTACAATTAAAGGACTAAAGGAGTTACTTTAAGTCCACTAATCAACTGTTGTACACTTTGCTTTAAATGTGGCAAGTAGATGTGCATGTTACTTAAATGTAGAGTATGATTAAGTGCAAACAATTCATAAAGAACAAACTTGTCTGGCCATAAAAAGACCTGGCAGCAAGTTACATTAAAAATGTTAAAAAAGTTAAATACAAGAACATTTTGCAGGCTGGTAAGTGACTTTAAAGTAGATAACAAATGAGGTGAATAGATTAGGTGTCTGCTGACATGTTGAATGTCTGTATGATTGTAGCAGTTTAAAAAAAAAGCCCATAGAACTGGCACAGGGGGCGGCCCACCAAGCCAGGATATGTGCGGCAAATGGTTTCTTTATTGAGGTTCTCTGTATCCCCAACAGAATAAAGGAAGCTCCCACTTGCAAAACATCTCAATGTAACACAGACCATCTGTGGTATATTGAGAGCATGGCTTCCTGCCGTCTGGTGCTGTATTTTTGGACCCAGCAGCCTACATAAATATCTTAGTCCATCACCTGAGAATCTGTATCTCTCAATGAGATAGTCATCTCCAACTACCAATGGGTCTGACCTGTCCCGGAAGACTCTTTCATGCCTAAATGTTCTTCTGAGGATTAGGGCTTCCTCATCCAGTACATCCTCCAAGAAATGGCAAACCATTATGAAGAGGGAACAGGTGAATGGGAGTTGGACAGACAGACAGACAGACAGACAGACAGACAGACAGACAGACAGACAGACAGACAGACAGACAGACAGATAGACAGATAGATAGATAGATAGATATTCCTTTATTTGTCCCACAATGGGGAAATTCCAATGTAACAGCAGCAAAGTGGATAGAGAGAAAACAGCATAAATAAACAGTAAAAGTAGGGAAATAATAAAAAACATTATGTACTAGATGTATATATACACATATGTACATATATATATGTATATATACATATATGTATATATACAATATTGCCCTTGTCACAGATTTCATTGAAAACACTTTTGCAACTTCATCAGCTGTGTTTTGTAATCTCAATTACTGCAATAAAACACATATTTAAGAAACCTCTGACGCATTTTGACAAGCAGTCTTCATTAGCATAGCAATATAACACTTGGCCTGAGTAATAATACTTCCACTTGAATCAATATAAAAAGACTGTTGCAATTACAAAGAGCCAACAGATTTAAATGAAATAAGAAATGACAATAGATATGTAATATTTTAATGCAGGATAATTAAAATGATGCAACATACTTAGAAAGACCATGGACATGCTGTAAAACATATTAATTCCTCACAGGATTGACAATGGAAATACAGGTGAATCACTAGGATTAATCTTAGCCTGGCTGTTAGCCTGGTCTGGAGCAGGCTAGCTGCAGAGAATACATCACCATAGTAACTTGGCCGGGATAAGTTTGACCTGCTTTCATGCAACCAACTTGAGGCTAAATTCAGCCAGGATAACCAACATATCCCGGCTTAATCCCTTATCCTGGTTTTGTGCGATACCCCTCAGCTTTGCTATCGGGATGATTCGCTGTACTACGAGTTCATTTACCATCGAAATGACTTCGAAGCTGTTATATTAAGGTAGAAATCTTGCATAGTGTGCCTTTAACTTAATGGCATCTTTTGATTTAACAATATTTTACTTTTTATTATTCCCAATAATAATAATTGAGTGTAATTGCTTGAATTGTTTTATTAGTTGATGTATTGAGTATTTTTATTCTTAGTACAATATTGTTTTCATGATATTCCACATGATAATGCCATTAAAGCTGAACTGAATTGCATTGAACTAAATTGAGAGAAATAATTCATATATACATTTTGAAGTAGTTGCTCTGTAGAACATTCCCTGCAGTTTACATTTGCAAAGGCCAGGGCCAGTCAGTGAGTCCGTCTGTGAGAGAAGCTCCACCTGGCACTACATCTGGGGCTGAGTCAAGGTCAGAAGGCTGATTACAACCTGTACAAAACATACTGTACGGAATTCCAACCAGGCCGGAGAAGCAACGAATCAAACTAAAATACACAAATAAAATTCATATACATTTTGAATATGTATATATGGTGCATTTTGTGACAGAACTGAGCAGAATCCTTTAACCAGAGTCCCATTAAAACTATGAAGTCCTGTTTTTGCTCAATTTTGAATAAGTATGACAAAGTTTTCCCATAACCACACTTTTGGTTGATTGTGATTGGTCGATAGCACCAGGGGTGTGTCTCAACAGCTGGCACAGGTTAAAGCTGTCAATAAAAACCCGACATGGGTCCAGGAAAATCTTTGCATCTCCATTTACCATCAACCAGTCATGAGGTCTCTGGTCTTTGCTCTGCTCCTAGGAGCCGTGTGTGAGTATGGACCACATTTAGAAAGTATCAACATGTAGAAACAATCTCTGACTATATTTAGTGTAGGAAATACAATGTCTTTTTAAAAAAAATGATGAAAATTTAGACATATAGACAGATTTTTTTTTTTTCAGTTGCCACTGAGGATGACAAAATTGTTGGAGGGCGAGAGTGCACGCCTCATTCTCAGCCCCATCAGGTGTCACTGAACTCTGGATATCACTTCTGTGGTGGCTCCCTTGTCAACGAAAACTGGGTTGTGTCTGCTGCTCACTGCTACAAGTCGTGGGTGCTCCACAAACTTCATCTCCAAAATAATAAAAAAACAAATAGTACAAGTTTCTCACAAGTCATCCCACTTGTTCTCCATTCTCTTCGTCTCACTCACAACTTCTCTTCCTCACAGCAAAATGGACATTGTCCTTGGGGATCACAACCGCTGGTTCATGGATGGCAATGAACAGATCATTCCCGCTTCCCGCGTGATCCCTCATCCCAACTACGAGTCTTGGCTGGTCAACAATGACATCATGCTGATCAAGTTGAGCAAACCTGCCACCATCAACCAGTACGTGCAGCCTGTGGCATTGCCCAGTAGTTGTGCCCCCGCTGGCACCATGTGCACAGTCTCTGGATGGGGTGTGACCATGAACTCCTGTGAGTATCAAACACTGTCTCCATACAGTTCTTCTGTTATTCACTCTACATCTGTCCATCCATTATTTGTCCTTGTGTCTCTGGTTCTGAATCTCCACAGCTGCTGATAGTAACAAGCTGCAGTGCCTGAATATCCCCATCCTGTCTGTTGAGGACTGTGACAACTCCTACCCCGGCATGATCACTGAGGCCATGTTCTGTGCTGGATACCTGGAGGGGGGCAAGGACTCCTGCCAGGTGTGAATCTCTGCTGTTGCAAAGTGCACAAAATATTTCTGACTTGTTTAGTAACCTCAGCACTTAGTTGAGACTTACTCTCCTACATGTCTTTGTTCCTCCGCTCTCAGGGTGACTCTGGTGGTCCTGTTGTGTGTGATGGTGAGCTGCAGGGTGTTGTGTCCTGGGGCTTCGGGTGTGCAGAGAAGAACCACCCTGGTGTCTATGCCAAGGTAAAAACAATCATTTATTTCTCTTTCATGACACAGAAATATTCTCAAAGCCTGATGTGACATGACATTTTCAATATGCCTTTTCCATTCATGTTTCCCTTTCTCTTGCATCAGACTTGCATATTCACAGACTGGCTGCAGAGCACCATGGCTACTTACTGAGACCGGTCCAATCATACCTGTGTTACAAATGATTCTATACTGTCTCAATAAAACTCTGACTGTTGTAATAGAGATTGAAATAAAACAGTGTGACACCTACATTTTTAGTATGTGCTTTTTGTTTGTATACCTTTTGTTTCCTTCTGATCTACCTGGCAAAAGTATAGATGAATGAAAATGAAAAAAATAACCTAATATTACTTTGTTACTGACTTTGGTACTGTGTTATGCTGTATGTTTTCAAATTAAATTACCATATTATTAAGGCCATGCAGTCATAGCAATAAAATAATAGATAGAAACAGAATAAATCATGAAGAAATAGTGCAAATAATAATAAATCCAATAAATAAGTATGTGGAGTTCAGGAAAGACAACAAACACTGAGCATGATTTCCCCATTAACAGTTAATTATAAACTAACTAACTAACTAACTACAACAGCTCTGTTACAAAGAAACAAAAACACCCAAGTGTCCTCTATCACAATATTTTGCTGTGGTTCATTGTTTTCATCGTGTCTGGTTGCAGCGAGTTTAGCGGAACTGTCGCTCCCCAGTTTCATGAGTTTCAAGTCGGACACATTTGACGACGCACCACCAATGTCAAACCCCAGCAGACTTCGCACTGACTGAGCTGACCCCAGGATTGCTTCTCACGTTGAGGTAACTGCTCTATTATGTAGAAAGAGGACAGTTTGATCAGATCATTCTCCTCAGATACAAACATTTCTCCGTTCCGACTCTCGCAGGAGAATCTAACCGGACAAGATGCGACTCACGCTGCAAATGCTGATCTCCCATGGCCGGGTGGCCCGGAAGATGGGCCTGGGTCCACAGTCCCGGATCAACATGCTGCGGAACATTTTGACAGGACTGGTCCGACACGAGAGGATAGAAACCACCCGGGTCCGAGCCGATGAAGTCCGCTTCTACGCCGAGAAGGTAACGAGCACCTGGTGATGCTGCCAGCCAGCTGACATTAAGCTGATGTTACAGTCATTAACCTAATTAAAACTGTAAGTGACAGACCAGGGTAGTAATAATAATAATAATAATAATAATATATAATTGTACTTCTATGTATTTTAGAAATAAGTTAATAACCTGTAGTTTACGGACACCTGAGGGGAAAGAAATATGGTAAACAAAACATGGCTGATTTTATTATTCCTTATAACTTTATTTAACCGATATCTCTATTGTTAGCACAACAATAACAAACATCTGACTCTTCATATGTTCATTCATGTCACAAACATACTTTGGCTTGCCTATCAAACATTTTGCATAAGAATCTAAAATAAATGATCATTATCAAGCAATAATGTATCAGCTGAACTACAATTATCAAAAATAATACATACTAACATAAAATGTCCTATTATTGCATTGTGTTGTGTATATTTTACACATGGGTACGGAAATATATATATATATACAGTGGGTACGGAAAGTGTTCAGACCCCTTTAAAATTTTCACTCTTTGTTTCATTGCAGCCATTTGCTAAAATCAAAAAAGTTCATTTTATTTCTCAATAATGTACACTCAGCACCCCATCTTGACAGAAAAAAACAAATGTAGAAATTTTTGCAAATTTATTAAAAAAGAAAAACTGAAATATCACATGGTCATAAGTATTCAGACCCTTTGCTGTGACACTCATATTTAACTCACATGCTGTCCATTTCTTCTGATCCTCCTTGAGATGGTCCTGCTCCTTCATTGGAGTCCAGCTGTGTTTAATTAAACTGATTGGACTTAATTAGGAAAGGCACACACCTGTCTATATAAGACCGTACAGCTCACAGTGCATGTCAGAGCAAATGAGAATCATGAGGTCGAAGGAACTGCCCAAGGAGCTCAGAGACAGAATTGTGGCAAGGCACAGATCTGGCCAAGGTTACAAAAGAATTTCTGCAGCACTCAAGGTTCCTAAGAGCACAGTGGCCTCCATAATCCTTAAATGGAAGAAGTTTGGGACGACCAGAACTCTTCCTAGACCTGGCCGTCCAGCCAAACTGAGCAATCGTGGGAGAAGAGCCTTGGTGAGAGAGGTAAAGAAGAACCCAAAGATCACTGTGGCTGAGCTCCAGAGATGCAGTAGGGAGATGGGAGAAAGTTCCACAAAGTCAACTATCACTGCAGCCCTGCACCAGTCGGGGCTTTATGGCAGAGTGCAATTGAAGGAAAGATGAATGCGGCCAAGTACAGAGATATCCTGGAAGAAAACCTCTTCCAGAGTGCTCAGGACCTCAGACTGGGCCGAAGGTTCACCTTCCAACAAGACAATAACCCTAAGCACACAGCTAAATAACAAAGGAGTGGCTTCGGAACAACTCTGTGACCATTCTTGACTGGCCCAGCCAGAGCCCTGACCTAAACCCAATTGAGCATCTCTGGAGAGATCTGAAAATGGCTGTCCACCAACGTTCACCATCCAACCTGACAGAACTGGAGAGGATCTGCAAGGAAGAATGGCAGAGGATCCCCAAATCCAGGTGTGAAAAACTTGTTGCATCATTCCCAAGAAGACTCATGGCTGTAGTAGCTCAAAAGGGTGCTTCTACTCAATACTGAGCAAAGGGTCTGAATACTTATGACCATGTGATATTTCAGTTTTTTGACATTTGTTTTTTTCTGTCAAGATGGGGTGCTGAGTGTACATTAATGAGAAATAAAATGAACTTTTTTGATTTTAGCAAATGGCTGCAATGAAACAAAGAGTGAAAAATTTAAAGGGGTTTGAATACTAACGTACCCTGTGTGTGTGTGTGTGTGTGTGTGTGTGTGTGTGTGTGTGTATGACCCTTCAGATACATTATTAAAAGTCAAAATATTATTGGTAAGTGTGTTCATATATTATTATATATATATATGTGTATATTGACCCTTCAGATACATTATTAAAAGTCAAAATAATTGGTAAGTGGTTCATTACCTTTCATCCTCACATAGTTAGATCACTGTTTCCATGAAATTTTCCAAACTAGCTATTACCATTTATCTAACGTATGATGCTGCTTGCATTGGTAGATGTTGATGTGTTATTTTTATTGTCACAGGTCTTTTTGTCAAGCCCAGACATGCTTGTGATCAGTGTAGTCCGTCTTTAGTAATGTGTGCACCGTACAGACTGATAGTGACGAGAGGAAAGTTGCTCCTGCAGAACCCCTGAGACCTCCACTCGGAGGCTTTAGGGTTCCTGGACGTAGTGTGACAATGACTGCACCACATAAGCCAGCTTGATATTGCTTTGTCCTAAAATGCTTATCCCACATTTTCTAACATTATATATTTGCACTCATTGAGATTATTTTATTCTTTACTGTTTGTTCCACACACAATGGTTCTGACTGTATTTGTTTTCTTGTTTTCTTTTCCCCAGCTGATCGACTATGCCAAAAAGGGAGACATCGATGAGAAGGCAATGAAAATGGCAAATTTTTGGCTGACAGTACGTATTCGCAGTTCTTCTCAAATGTATGAAGTTACACGCTGTGTCCCTCTGAATGTTACACAGTCCCATCTGAAGTCTTTGTTTAGTTTGAGTCTCCTTCTTCTCCCCAGGAAAAGGATCTGGTTCCAAAGCTCTTCAAGGTCCTCGCTCCACGGTTTGAGCCTCATTCGAATAGCTACACACGGATGGTACGCATCCCCAACAGACATAACCTGGACAGAGCTAAGATGGCCGTCCTTGAGTACAAAGGCAACCCCTTCCCGCCTCTCTATCCTGTAAAAAAAGACTGTGAACTCAGTCTCATCAACCAGCTTCTCAAAGGCTACAGAGAGGAAAGGGAACAACAGTTAGCTGCAAAAGCTTAATTACAATCATCCCGGTGTTGGATCAGTGATAGTGGTCACTCAAGGGTGATGGTTGGGTGCTGAGATGCTTCTGGGGAGTCACTTGCAGGTGCTGCAGATTGTGGTTTATAGAGACTGATGCATATCTTCACCAGAACAACAGTTCCAGCTTCAGAGTCAACTGAAGTGATAAAAAAAATTCCATAAAAGGACATTTATGATGATTGTGTATTATTAAATATTATTTCTTAACAGAACTAACAGACTGTTTTTTGGTTTGTTTCTTTGATCACTTAGTGGGCAGGTTTGCCCTTTTTAATGCAGGGAAATAAAACAGCAGCACACATTAAAGGGGTACTTCAAAAATGTATTACACTTCAGTAGAGTTGGAGGACGTGTGAGAGCAATTACAGATCAATAATGAAAACAGCAGAGGCCAAGAAATCTTGACTTTTACGTCCTGGACACACACTGCTTACATGCTGTGTGAACAGTGTGTGACGGCTGCCTCGCTGAACCGCTGCAGCTCGCAGGCCTGTGGTGTCCACACACAGAGAGCGTTTATGCTGCCGCTGCCAGCCCCGTTTTTCTATACTGAGTTCGCCTTTGATAAAATCCAGTACAATAAAAGCTGTGTTAACAAATTAATGGATTCTGTGTACAGAGTCGCTAGAGAGCTTTTAATCTGAGTCGGTTGGTGTGTGTATATGTCGGTGGTATAATGTTGATATGACTATGAACAGATCATTTTCACTGTCTATTTTTGCTGGGAGCCGCTCGCAGAAAATATTAGCAAGACCTTGACAGCCGCCCCTCACACGGGCAATGTGACTGCTCTAACCTGTTAACATTGGTGCCAAAATAAAAAAAGCAAGGCAGTCCAGACGTGCTGCAAGCGTTCACAGTTTGGCCGGGGCTTAGTCCCCAGTATGTGCCATGCTCCAAAAAACAAAAACAAAAACAAAAAACTGGGTCCTACATTTGAGGACATCACTATGACATCATCAGGTTGTGTTTTTTTCCAAACTTTGGAGGACTCCCTACTGAGTCACATAAAACACCACACCACTGTTTACAGTGGGTGAGTAGTACTCTTTGACAACTGAGCTTTAGCATTATTTAACGTCATGGACATGTGACAATGAAACCATTCTTACACAAAAAATAATTTCTACTTGTAAACCAGTACAAAAGCCCCAAAATAATTACTAGTTTTGTAAAGTGTCATTTCAAAGCCATAGCTTGTGGTTCAGTCAGTTCTTCAGAGCAGACATTTTGACCTGTAGTAGCAGGAAAAGCACAGGTGTAACTACTAACATTAACGGTGCTTCCACTCCGTGTTATTAACTACACCTGTGCTGATCAAGCTATGAGAGGGTATCTGCAGGTCTTAAAAAGCACTGAATACAGTTCCCTCACAAAAAAGGCCGTAGGTCATTGACAAGTCTTACATTTAATTTGCAACAGTGGTTTGTGCTTGTAGAACAGCGGTTCTCAACCTTTTTCTTTAAGCCAGGGGTCGCCAAAGCTTCAGGGGGGGTCGAAGGCCTTCTTGATTTTAAGGCGTGTAAGAAAACTTTAAAAATATACATATTAGGCCTATACCTCAGCATTTGGTTCATTTTTGTGAAGAAAAGTAAATGTAAAGTGAAGGAAATTGTTAAGGAAATTGTCTAATAGAACAATGGCCAAGCAACAGGGACAAGCCATTTGTCAAAAAAGAAGCCTAGTAAGGCCATATGTTAAAAATGACAAAAAATACATAATACAGACATAATTGTATAAAAAAGTTCCCTAAACAGGAAATAATCTGCTTAAAATTCATCTAAATTACTTGTTTTACACAAAATGTTCACTATTTGGGTTCATTGTACAGTTCTGAATTTAATATGAAATAGAATAGGGGTCCGTCAAGGAGAAAGGTTGGGAACTACTGCTTTAAGGGACCCCTTGTCTATCACTGATTAAACAGACGACCCCTGACTAAGTGACATATTTTTGGCATATTTCATATTATATTCAAAGAACAACAATAACTGAACTCCAACAGTGAACACAATAACTACAGGAAGTTTGTGTAAAACGAGTGATTTGGAGGAATTTTGTGCTGATTATTTCCTGTAAATTGCTGATTGGAGATGAGTTTCCCTGATAATTTTAGCAACTTTTTATAGACTTAAGTTTTTCCTTCTAATTGTTAAAAATCAAGAGCCTTGCACCTCCCTCCCCCCCGGTTGGGAACCACAGTCAGAGAAGGCTTCTTCAGTTTACTCAGTGCCTTCATACCCGTAGATAGACCCTAACCCTAGACTCAATAGACAAGGGACCATTTTAGTGAAAATTAAAAAAAAGTTGTATGTAATTGATTAATCTACCCATCTATCAATTTCCACTTATTTAAATCCCTGTCATGTCACTTGATTCATTATATTAACTAACTGTTATATAAAAAAATGATTTTAAAAAAGGGGATATAATGGTTTTCTGTCATTGTTTGACTGGTATGACATTGAAAAGGTTATGAAATTGCATTCTTTGTAGTATCAAAATGGTCTTAGAGAATCCTAAATTTAAGTTGATGAACACTGCATAAACCTTTTTAAAAACATGTCTGCAGTAAAAAAAGGTCCATTGTACTTAATGCAGATGGATGAAAAATGATCAAATAATGAGAGATGTTTGGATTCTTTTTTAAAAGACTGGCAGCGATTAGGCTGAAATCCATTTACAAATTTATACTGTTAGTGGAGAACGAGTAGAGACAGGCACAGTTTGTTGTTACTCTGCACTTCAGCAGTCACAGCAGAGCGGGATACTGGCAGCGACTGTGAAATAATTAGGCTAGCCTACATCAGATTGGGACCAGCCTGGAGTCTGTCCCTGTGGTGTTTTACTTTAATGGACTTTTGTAATGAGAACAAATTCTAAATATGATTTACAGATATTAGATCGACTCCCTTGGACACATGCCCTTGTCCTACCTGGAACAAAGACACACTAGCCAAATAATACACACCCAGACAAGGCCTCTAATAAAACCATATTTTTTTTATTATTTGGGCAAAAAGTGTATATGTACAGCGTATTTAGAATTGTCATTTGACTCCATTAAAATGCATTTGAACAGTGCTTCAGTGATGTGCTCTTAACCAGATCGCTCTGAGTAGCCTAAAAGCTGTGCTGTTTTCTGTCATGCATACATAATCTCTTTTTCTTCAAGTTCCCTCCCCTTAAGTGTGTCCCAGTCCTGTAATTGTATGTCAATATACACAAGGTTGAAGCAGTGATACAGTATCAGTAGGCCTGTCTGTTAGTCAAGTCGCCCAGTGTCTATTCAGTCAAGTCATGACAACCATAACAATAGGCAACGGCAGACAAAATGGCAGACATGCCGAATATAAACCACACATAATCAGAAATAACAACTAGTACTCTAATTCAAGTATCATTCTGTTTCACAGACTAAATTACACCTCTGACTACACTCTTACAAGTGACACACCACAGTCCTAACATCCTAAAGTACTCCATTACAGCAAGATTGCCATTGATAAATCTGTGGACTATTAACTGAGTACCACCATTTTTATGAATAGGAAATAAATGGTCAAGATAAAACTGAATTTGTTAGTGTCCTTTCAGTTTCTGAATGGCAGGAAGCTGGTGGTAAACTCAGTTTCAATGACGCTCTTACATGACTTATCAACTTCAGTAATTCAATGTTAACTTACGTCGACTAAGCATGATACGTTCCCTAAAATATCCCGGACAGTCGGATGACATTTTCAGACTGTATTTACAGGTGTATGCATCTGGAATACTACTCAATGTGGTGTGAATACAGGTTTCAAAGCAGTCTAATAAGGTGACAACATCACGAATAAACAGACTAAGACCAGGAACATTAAAGTGCTCCATGCAGGACAGACAAAATGTACAGTTGTGTTGCCGTTTTCACAGTTCATCTACAAGGCTTTTTTTTTGTCATAGCTCAATGTTAGGGGTGATGAAACTAGTAATATTTGCTCAGCTTTTCACACGGTTTAAACATTAAAGTGAGATAAAGTCAACAAATATTCATGTTTCAGGTTCTAGACAGGGGTGAGGATGAAGTTACTTGTATTTTGAAAAAGGCAGCGTCCTGCTCTCAGATCATGGATATGTTGTAGTTGAAAAGAGAACTCGACAAAATGCGTACTGCAGCATTCCAGTAACTTGAAAATCACCCCTGTCCTTGTGCTGTATTGCATCAGTACATTCACCAACGTCTACATACACAGAAATGACATTTTTTCAGCAGGCATATTCTGCAAGTCAAAGTCAACGTCAACGGAAACCGACAAAGTATAACATTGGTTTTATATTGTGTTTCAGACAGCGTGAGAGGGTTTTGATTGGAGTAACAATTAACAGAATTTATCCAGTCAAAAATATACTAAAGCCTATTGTATGTATTTACAAAAGTATAGATTTCAATACACACAATAAGCGAATATTGTATGGTCACGTGGAGTACATATCAGCTTTTTGGACGGGAAATACAATACAAACATGCGCGTTTTACGAGTACCTAGAAGTGCCCACAGTAAACGTGACATTTTACATTTACACATCAGCATATCAATCCAGAATAACCAGCTGCAATGAAGGCATATAAGAATATAAATTAAATCAACAAACTCCATATAGAGTAAATATCTATGCTTTATCAAAATGTGTCAAACATAAAAATTATTTTTTTTATTTTTTTTACATTAATTAGATAAATGTAATGGTATGAGATTCTTTTTATGGTCACAGCACCAACTGGAATGTAATGATGTGTGGGGAAAAAAAAAAAAAACATGAAAACAAATTTCCTTTTTTTAAAATAAAACTATATAGAGTTTTAGCTCCCTTCAGTTTTAGCTATTTACAAACTCTTCCAGGCAGACCATCAATGCCTCATGAATTTTTGAATAAAAGTATTTCAAGAATTTTGTTCATTTCCGCATCGTGCACAGCTATCATTCTATTGCTCTGGCTACATCCACTTTGTCATCTTTCTCCCTCTGTGCCTTCTACGGGTCAACATCAAATATTTATTGCTTCTTTATTCTTTAACAAGCTCAGCACTCCTATCTCACAGCCATTTTCCCCTCACTCCTCCATTCGGGTTATTTCCATTCACAGGTGAACTGGGACCGTTTAGGGATTCACTTTTCTAATGGTTTATCCTCTTCGTCCATCCAAACTTTCCCCCCCTTTTGTCTTTAAACAGTAACACTTGGATTTCCACTCTGACTCTTCCTTTACTTTGAACTGTCATTCTGTCCGTTCCCTCCGTGCCTTCCAGTCTCTCCCTCTGTCCTGCCCTCTGTCCCGTCTTTCTTTCCATCTCATGCCTTCGTGCCGAACCCTCCTCCTCCACCACTCTGCATGCTGAAATACTCGGTAAAGGAAGGGAGCCGGGGCGGGAGTGGGGGCGAGCGCGCGGCTGGGCGTGGGGGTATCGGAGGTGGAGGTGGGGGTAATATTGACATCAAGTCAGCAGCAGTGGTGATGATCTTCTGCTCGCTGTTCCTCGGTACCTCGGGTCCTTTACGGGCCACTGTCTCTTCCACCGTCTTCACCGGGTCCTGCAAGAAAGGAAGGATGATTGTTTTACACTTCTGACCTGGTCGGATCATCTGGATGTAGGTTACATACATGTGTTGCCCTGGCCAGAAAGTGGGACCTTTCAGTATAGTATGGTGTGTCAGTAACACCATACCATACATCACACTTTGACAGCTTCCTCTACAGCTCACCGATGCTGGGGTGGTTATATAGGTTGGGGTAAATTACACATGTATTGGCTTTCCTGACCTCTAGTTCAGTTACTTTACTCTCCTTAACTGCAGATTGTGGAACCTGGCCCTATCTTATATTAGCGATAAAATTCAAATGATTACAAGTAATGATTATTTTCATTATGGATTAATCTGCCAATTACTTTCTTGATTGATCTGTTTGGTCTACAAAATATCAGAAAACAGTGAAAAATGTGCATGGAAATGTCCTATAACTCAAGGTAATTTCATTAAATGCCTGACCAACAGTCCAAAAACCCAAAGAGATTAGATTTAGTATAATGTACTGTATGGTAAGAATCAGCAGATTCTCACAAATTTTGGTGCCCAAAAATACTTTTAGGGTATTTTGTCTTTGCTGTTGATTGAATAATTATAATTAACATTGCAACACTACAAAAATCACAAAATAATCAAACTGATCAAAGCAATGAACTGGGTTCCACTGTTATGCATTACAGTGTCTGAGATGAAGTGTTGCATATGTGTAAAGAGCAATAACATTTTAGTAACTAGTTAGATTGATCATTAATTAATTCATCTGGTTGTGGAAACTGAAAGTGCTTGCCCTTTTCTCATTAGCACCACTGAGGTGCCCTTAACCCCGGGTCTTAACCCCAGCTGCTCCAGTGGAGCTGCTCAGTGGCCCCAGCGTCCTGGGCCGTTTCCCAGTGTGAACTGTGGGATATGATCAGGACATTCCTTAAAAGAGAGTGTTGCTTGCAGTGAACCCCCCCCCCCCAAACTAATAAAGGTTAAAACAAATGTGGTTTACAGAAACTGCTAGAATATGACATTATGAGATAATTTAATTGTGATTCTGCTGAAATTTGATTAATCATTGCTAATAATTATCACCCAGTCCTTCCTCCATGTTGTTTATGTAAAAAAAGACATTAGAAACACCTTCCTAATTAATTTGATTGTTCGACACAATCCAGTTCTTACTTGCCTTTATTGCCGTGTCATTGTTTTTTTTTTCCAGATACAGTACGTAACTTTTCATGTGCTGCAGCCTATGAATAGCTCATCAGGCATTTTTCCAAAGTTACTGAAACCTGCAGTTACATAATTAAGCCCCTCTAGCTTGGATGCTTTTATACTAAATACAGTATGTTATACTGTATTCTATACAGTATGTTATACTGTATTTAGTCTTTTTTTATAGCCCATCTTAGCAAGACTAATAGCAAATTAGTTTTATCTGTAAAAGGTTTTCTAGACAATCTTCAGTCTGGCTTCGACCACATTATAGCACAGAGACTGCTGAGATAACCTAAAAATTCACCCTTCGGGGCCAAACACTGCTAAACAATAAGACTGCATGCCACACTTAGATTTACTTTGCTCGTTCACCAAATGACCCTGGTCCAATAGACTCACTGTGTCAGTGCAAGTAATCACATGCAACTACATTTCCTTTACTTAAATAAAGACAAGACTGAGTGCATTCTATTTGGCAACAAAGAGAAGAGGCTCTTATTGCCCACCTTGATACCATGGTAATAAAGACTGAAGGCCAAGCTGAACTCATACTTTTTGCGTGGTCTTCCCATTTTCTGTAGATGTCTGCAGCAAATCCAGAGTTAGATTTCTAACTAAAGGTAATTTGTACCTAACTGTATTTGCCATGACTTTGTGTCAGTTGTCATGCTGGCTGGACCTTTGCGTTTTATGTTTCCTGCTAGCGTCTGCACATTGTATCAGTGTATATGAAGATCCAGAGCTGTTCTTCCGTCACTCATTTCTGTGCAGTATGAAAAAGCAAACTTCCACAGATTTGAAAGTTTCCCTCACTAGACAATTCATCACAGCAAACACGACACCTTAATTTGGTCTTGTCAGAGTTTCTATTTAATCATTATTTTCTTGTGCCCAAGTGTTTTCATATCAGAGCGTGTGCTATGTTACGCTGTGCTTACTGTCATTCACCTGGAGCCCACAGGAAGAGACGGCCGTTTCCGCCAAGAAATAATCCTTAAAAACATGTCCCCTTGCAAACTATTGTTACACTGATGCCTTCTAATTTGATGCATCTTTGTTAGATGAGACAGCAGTTAATTTCAAGCTAGGTTTGACACTGTTTGCATTTTGAAAGCATCAAAAAGATTAGATGTAAATCTAATTACATATAGCAAGCACTGCAAAATGAGTCGGGGGGGGCATTTAAACAGGATATAGATGTGCATACTGTACGAGCTAAAATCTGATTCTTATTTGCCTTTAACCTGTTCCTGTATCTTTATTCACTTCGCTTGTTCATGAATGGGGCAGCTTTAATAGACATCAGTAATTGAGACTTATGATCTTATCTCTTTAGCCTTTTGCATAAACACAGCACTTGCTCTTCTGTGTCTTCAGCTTCAACAACTTCAACTCAGGATATCAAGCATGCATTCAAAAACATGTAAACTTAGACTCACTGATTGGATGGAGAAGAGTTCAGTAAAGTTGGGTTGAGAGTCTCCCAGGAAGGAGCTATTTCCATAGGCATGATGGGGGAAACTCTCCGCCCCCTCACCTCCTTTTGGACTGGACAGCAGGATCCCAATCTGGGATGTCCGAACATGATACGGGAAGTTCTTATTGGCTGCTGAAGGTCGTGTGATAACCTAGGGGGCAAGAGGATGAAATTGTATGATGATTTTTGCCGATTCTTACATATATAATCGATATATGAACAGTATATGTAGCAGCTAACACATAGCCAGAGCATATATAAGGTCCAAGGGAGAAGTGGGAATAGCAATGCATGCAGTGAGCAGGAATATAAAAGGACATTTGCGTGAGCAGTACGGCCCATTAGTAAAGAACAATGTGTTGAAGGTGAGGAGGAGATAGATAATGATGTGTGGAGGAGACAATCAGCATGAGGCAGTTATGACTCAAGGATAGTGAATAATGTATGAGTGACAGTGGCAATAAGGACTCTTGAATAATGTGAACTATGTAGAAGTGCAAGGGTCTGCATGAGCGTGTGTGTATGTGTGTGTGTGTGTGGTACGAACGAGGAAGACGATGTGAGCGTAGAGGTGGATGCCGAGCTGAATGCCGTTGACAATCTTCTCCCGGGCCCAACGAGGAATCCCAAAGTTGGCGATCAGAGCCATAACAGGCACTGCAAAAAACCTGTGGAAGACAAGTGAGTAGATTTAGGATAATGGTGTGGGGGAAAAAACACATTAAAAGACAAGATGAGAACAGAGTTTGATGGTGAGAGGAAGAGAGAGTAGAGATAGATGTAAAGCACAGAGAAAGAAAGATGGGAGGGGAGGAGAGGAGAGGCGTAGATAATGAGGCGGGAGATAGCGGCAGCAATGAGAGAGAAATACAGAGATAATATTAGTCTTTGTAATCGACTCTTCATTTCAAGCCTGTGCTATTATACACAGTGAATGAAGGGCAGAGAAGCTGAGCAGTGTATATAGAAGGGTTTTTCTCGGGGTGAAAAAACATTTCTTTCCAGTACAAAGCTTTAAACTATCGAGCACACATATGGCAGAATAAATTATTCTAATGGAAGAGACCTCATCAGCAAGTAAAAATATAGATATTTTCCTCCAGCAATCATTGGCTCAAGTACAATTATCTACAGTGTTAGTAGAGCGCAGAGGTTGGGCTCACAATGTTGTAAAAGGGTAGTGTAAAATAAACAACTTTTCATTCCCAGACCGCGAAAGCATCAGCTATCTTGTGCACATTTTTTAACAGAGCAGCATAAATTATTCAAATTGAAGAGACCTCAAACAGAGAAATGTGTATTTTCCTACTCCTGCAATCTCTCGCTCAGGTGCTATTATCCACAGTGAGGGGCAGAGAAGGGGAAGCTGTGCAGGTCTCACCATAGTGTGTATGTGGTAAAGAAAGGGACGTAGAAGGACTGCTTCTCAGGGTAGTGTTTCAGGGAGACCAGCACGGCGTAGCAGAACCACACGTAGGCCAGCAGCTGCAGGCCCATCAGTCCGTAGCCTGCAGGGCTGTCGTAGGCATACAGCACTTCACCTGGGTCAAAGAACTGGCACAGGAACATGAGCCGTTACGCCAAAATGAAGACACACATTGAAGAAGCTAGCTAAACTTTTTACACAAAGTAGAAAAGAAGCATCTATTGGCTTGACTACACATTGTACTCTGTGCCCTAATTACTAAGATGGATTGCTCATTTTTCTGCTGATGCACTGCGAGCCAAAACTCAGCTTGTAGCATTCTGTGTGAGTCTTTGACATTGACACTTTTTCCCCACAACTAGGTCATTGGCATATGTGCGCACAGGTTGTGTGTGTGTGTGTTGTGCATGTGCTTGTGTCTGCGGACACTAGATTGTATTTCACAGTCCAGTGACTGGATAGCATTGGCCACCATACAGGGTTACCCTTGCTACATAATGCATAGGTCGGACGGCTCGGTGTGGAGCTTCTTGGGATCCAACCAGAGCCTGTCAGATCCCCCAACTGCAGGCCCAGTACCAGGAACACTCTTCAAGTCTTTATTTCAGTTCCAATTGTAACCTAGTTTGGCATATTTTTAGCAGAAGCTCCCCTGAGTTTTGAGCTCTTTAATAGCAGGGACCATGTACGAGGGCAGGCGGTAGATAAATTACACTGCCTCAGATCCACATATTGCAGTGAGAGAGATGGGCTATAGGCTCCAGCGTTAAATATAGCACGCATACTTCCACTGCACTATTCCCACTGGGTCATTACCACGCTGTATTCAAAAGACTGAAAACCACTGTCCCTAAATGTACCATCATTCCATCTGACCGTGCTGAAACCTCTGCAGTATGCAGAGATGTATGTAACTGTAACACTCCTGGGTGCGTTACTAATTCATAAGCTCATGTCATCAGCATCATAGCTGGTGAAATCTGTTTCTGTCTTCACATACAGAACACAGAGACACAGTATAATTAATGAGAGTGGAGACTTCAGTGTGTTGATTAGTAAGTCTAACTTTCCAATCCCAGGAAACCTTAAAGAAACTCATTGATCTAAGATTTATTATCTCAAGTACAGTGAACAAGTAAGTGCAATCCTCTTTAGTTGTGTTTGTAGTTGGAGCTGCCTGTCAGGATCCATCATCTGTAACTCATCCCTCATTTATCCCTCAACAATCAACTTGCATGCATATTCATAATTAGCTATGTATCAGTATAATGAATGATTTGACAGAAAAAAGTCATTACAGCCCACGTGGATCTGTGGGCCCAACTCCTCCGGGCATCATTATGAGATTATTAAAAAAAAGCCAAAGAGAGCAATAATACGAGTGCAAATGTGGCGTCAAGCATTAGCAAGTCAGACATTTCGCATCCAGTCATCCTGACACTGTCACATCTGAAGAGGAGGAATTCACATTCACTGAGATCTGAATTTTTTTGCTGTTATTAGTGTGCAAATTATAGCTGACACTAAAGATTATTCCACTGCTGATTATCCTGTCAAATATTTCCACAGTTAACTGATTAATCTTTACGTCTATGAAGTGTCAGAATATCATGAAAAAGTCTTATTTTTGTTCTGTCTACTCAATAGTCCAAATTTAGACATAATAGACATGATATAATAGATAGGAAAACAACAAGTCTCTATGTTTGAGAAGCTGAAACCAGTGGAATTAAATTTATAATCAAAACGGTTGATTCATTTTTCGCTCCAGTAAAAAATAACTCCCTTTTCTATTGACAAACTTCTAGCTCTTCTTACTTATATTCATGGCTGACAGGAATTTATCCCGGTTGCCAGCTCATATTTACAGAAAACCCAACTAAACATGACTGTGGCACACAATTATTGCCAATATAGCTGTTGGTGAGGAAAGTGGAGGAGGTGAGTGTTGACAAGTCCTGAAACAGGTGGTCAACTCATACGTTTAAAATGAATTGAAGGCATCTACTCTGGGAATTTGTTCACTTAAAAAATCCATGTATTAATTAATTATTAAAACAATCATTAGTTGTAGCCCCTGTGGTGTCTATAGTGCAGTATGGGTAACGTATTTGTGTGTGTGTGTGTGTGTGTGTGTGTGTGTGTGTGTGTGTGTGTGTGTGTGTGTGTGTGTGTGTGTGTGTGTATAGTGCTGTACCTCTGCCTCGTAGATGAAGAGGATGACATAGGTCATTGTGTAGACTGTCATGTAGATGCTCAGTTTAACTGACCCGCTGTGACTGATCCTTGCCCTGACACAAACACACACAAAAAAGGGGGTCAGAGGTCAAACAGAAGTTAGCCGAAGATAAGAAAAAAAAAACCACACGTGCACACAAAATCGTGCATTTGGTTCTTTACACTCAAAGTAAAGATAACTTAATCTAAAAGCAGCTATTCAACACCAAACAGCACAAAGCACTGGTGTGCTCAACTCTGACTTTTCTATAAATAAAATGGCTGCAAACTCATGGACACCGCTGGCTGTGAAAAAGCCTGTCCACACTTACAAAACAGATATTAATGCTTCTTTATTTGCACAGCGGCAGTCAACAAACAGTATTTCAGGATTGAAACTTTGTCATTTCAAACATCCTTTTGCTCATAGTAATTCAACACCACACACCAGAGAAAACATATCAAAGTTGTGTGGTAGTTATCACCAAACTGTCAACTTATCAGTTACTAGAGATGTGTTTTTAGCTGGATGGTGATGCAGTTTTAAGTTTATTCACTGGGGTTTTAAGCGGTTTAATCACTGAGAGAGATCACAGAATCTTCTGGACCCAGAGGAGGATGTAATCCTAGAGTCCAAAAAGCTTGAATCCTGCAAACTCAGTTTATGCTACAAGAGTTCAGTCTGGAAAATATCCACAGAGATTCAATTGGGCCCGAAGCAGGATCAATTTTTCAACTATGAGCAGTGGTTTAGATGAGTCACCACAAATCAAAACCTTGTGAACAGGCTATTTTTTCCAGTTATTTTTTCCTGATTTTTAAAAAGCGTCATTATGCCCTTTTCTCACATAAAACTGACTAAAGAAACCCACTTCTGGGGATAGCTTGGCTGAAATGTAACCACATTTCAAAAACAGCTGGCATGTTTGATAACTAGACTTTCAAATTGGAATTGGACAACTGGAAAGGCCCCTGACTGTCGGCGAGTAGGGCATTTGTCAAGTCAGGTGTGAGATGGATACATGCTGATGTTCCAGCAAAGGGGAGAACTCGTAAATCATCTATTGTGCAGGCTATCTGAAATGATGCCTGTTGCAGGCAAATATTCACTAAACCTTGCCAGAAAACAATGAGTAAAGCAAAAATTTGTCAGCTGGCTTTGCAGGGCAAATATAATACTTCAGCCCAAACGAAAACATCATAAAGTTTATAACATAGCAGCAAAAGTCTATGACATTTCCCAAACGTATCAGGTGTTCATCCACACCATCAGACCCAGCACACTAACTGAGTTTTTGACTGACACCTAACATTGTCATAGTTATATGAGATATAGTGTTATGACTGAGATTAAGGCCTGACAGGTGAGAGACAGTGGCAGCATAAACACACCCACACAAGGTGACATCCCAGGCTCGCATAAACACATATGGGCACGAAGAAATACATGCTACACACACACACACACACACACACACACACACACACACACACAAGCTACACAAAAAAAAGTGAAAACCCCCACCTGGTGACAGTGAAACCTTTGCCCAACAATATGAGCATCAGAAGGAACACCAAGAAACTGATGGAGAACAGTAATTTCCCTGGAGACAGACAGAGAGGAGAAGAGAGACAGAAAGTGAGAAATAGAAGACAGAGGGGGTAATTAGGCTGTGGCTTCCAAATCTGTAATATCAGAGGGGAAAGATATAATCAGGTCGCCCCACACACACACCACACACACCCACACACACACACACCCACACACACACACACACACACACCACACACACCCACACACACACACACACACACACACACACACACCCCCACACAAAATCATGCATGATCCTGCCTGTGCCCCTCAAACCAGCTCTTGCACTTCCTCACCCGCACACACACATCCATCGTCGTCCACTCATTCATTCTGCTCAGGCACATAGGCAGTGTCAGTCAGTCAGTCAGTCAGTCAGTCAGTCAGTCAGTCAGTCAGTCAGTCAGTCAGTCAGTCAGTCAGTCAGTGGCCGATGCAGGAGAAAAACTCACCGAGTAATTTCAGGCTGCCGTTGCCGACTCCATCTCTAGCATACAGGCCCCAGTAGACACAATGGAACAACAGGCTGAGCACTGCCAAACGGAAAACATGCAGGGAGGAGACAAATAAGAGAAAGGGAGAAGGAGGGAAAGAGAGAAGAGAGGGGAGGAAGGAAATGGGAGCGCAGCAGAGGGGATTGTTGGGGACAAACAGGAGAAAAGGTAGAAAAGAAGACGTCAGAGATAAGAAGAAAAGAAAGAAAAAACACCGGAGACAGGGAGATGATAATGAGGAAAGAGAAGGGGCAGGGGTAAGAGAAGTGGAAAAGACAAGTGAGACAGAAAAGAATTGACAAAAGGAGATGAAAAAGGGAGCAGAAGGTTTGAGAGAAATGGGAGGAGAGAATTCAGAGGTGGCAGGAGAATCGAGAAGGGATTTGGAAGAGGGACAAGCAAGCGAGAAGGAAGAAAGCGAGATAAGGATTGGGAGAAGAAAAAGGAGAAGATAGGGTGAGGAGGTGAAGGGGGGTGTTAGTCAGTAACAGCATGCTCCACTGAACACTGTAGCGCAGCACGGCTGTTTGCAATAGTTTCTATTCAGAGGCTAATAAGGCCGATAATATCTTGGCTCTTGAAGTTGGGATTAAAGTATGAGATGCCGCAGCAGTGCAAGAGGCTCATTGTCATCTTGAGTGTGTGTGTGTGTGTGTGTGTGTGTGTGTGTGTGTGTGTGTGTGTGTGTGTGTGTGTGTGTGTGTGCGTGCGTGCATTTGGGACAGGAGATCTCACCCTCTACGCCTGCTGCCATCATAAACATTTTGTAGGTTGTGTGAAGAAGCTGTCTTCCCTTTAAATTGTCTGCAGGGGGAAAAAAACACAAGAATGAGATAGAGGTGATGGAGGTGTGTGTATGTGTGAGTCTGTTGGTGGGAATAGAGATAAAGAGGATGGAAATATGCTAACAGATGGTGAAAGAGAGCGAGAGAGGTACAGGGTGAGAGACGGACAGAAAGAAGAAAAGAAAAAATAACAAGGGAGTGTGCCAGATAAATGAGGGGAGCGACCATTAGTATGCATCCATCTTGTGATGCCTGTCTCTAGATGAGGCCTTATACATCTTCTCCATCCTCTCCCTAATCTGGGAGGAAATATTTTAATGCGTATTTAAGCAGGCAATTTTACTACCAAAACACTCCTACAAACAGCAGTCGCCCGGGGGAAGATTTACAGCGGGAGGAAAGACCATAAACGTTCACACACACACTCATAGCTGCCTTGTATAACCACAGGCCAGCCAAATGCTGCAGGATCCTACTGTGACTTCCTCAGTGGTACTCTAATGACGGCTGTTGAAGGAACATTTCTCCCAAAAATTAAAATCCTGTCATCTTTTCCTGACTTCAATGTTTTATAACCTTTTCCCCCCATCTCTAATAATCTGCATATATTTGTCATTGTGAATATTGTTTATTATGTAGAAGTGCCTTCAGGCCTTTTTCCTCTATTTGCACAACACTCTACACTGTTATTTTTATGTCTTTTGTTTGATTATAACTAGTCAAAACTCGAGCCTCCATGTCAGTGAATATTCAAATGAAGCTGGCAGCAGTATACACACGGTGAAGATACCGCAGTTCATTAAAAGCAGTTTCCCAATCTGCATTAAATCACAATAAGATTTCAGCACAATCCAAGAGTCAAAATATATATTTGCACCTCATTATGTAGCTTTATTCCTCTGCAGTATATTATAACCCCCTGTATTTAAACTTATGACAGGTCCGCTTCCATTTCCAACCAGTGTGCTCTATCACTTTTGGATACATGTGACTATAAAACACTTGAACAAGTTGGTTTAAGGATTTTGAAGGATATTTTATGCCAGTTCTGGAGATTAATATTTTACTTTAAAGGATCAGTTCACCAAAATTAAGTATTATCTCATGTAGCTCACTAACTGTATTCGGGTGGAAAACTCAGAAACAGATATTTCAATGTCCTGGTCAATAAAACCAACAGATTTGCATAGCACTTCCTGAAGGTTTGGGAAACCCCCAAATGATGATTAAATGGAGGAAAAGAAAAAGGCTTTTCTCTCATGTTTTCTATTTTCATTGTGAAATACTGGAGGATCCTTGAAAATCCCCACATTAAGAAGGTCCTACCGTATGATGTTGGGTCATTGGTTAATTTTAAAGGGTAACAAGCCAGAAAGGTAGGGAACCACTGCACCAGGGCTTTTGTTCTCAGTTACTTCGGGTTATTTGAGCTGTGACCTTCGTGTGACAAACTCGCTTCACTAACCTTAAGGCTACCACTACCTTCTCCATTCAACCGTTCACCTTTACACGAAAACCCAACCCCGCTCTCGCCATTCCGCTCACTCCTGCTCTCTCATGCTCTGTTCTGACAAACTCCCAGCCCTAAGAAAAGATAGGCACATGCTCCACCTTTACTTATCAGAGGAAACATGAAGACTTACTCGCATCCCATCAAGAAAACATGTGGATTTTATAATAGATTTGAGAAAAAGGGCACTTAATGACTTCTGCTGGCTTTGAAAGTTGAATAAATTGGCTTGTTCGTGGAAAAGGAGGGAGAAAGAGAGATACATTAAGTGAAAAAGGCAGTACTTACAGGCAAAGTAGCAGGAGAGGAGGAACACCATGGAGAAGATGACCAGGAACGTGATGTCCGTCTCCAGGATTCCTGTGGATAGGGGGGTGGAGGAAGTAGAGGTGGAAACAGAATAATTGATGAGATAGAAAGATGGAGAAAAAACATGATGGTGGGAAAAGGACAAACAAAAAGGTACAAGACAAAAGGTGAAATCAAAGCCAGAGAGTAAAGCAGTCAATGAGGTTTAGAAAATATCAAGGTGAAGAAGAAAGGGAGAAAAAAAAACCAGAGGGTTGACCGATCCAGAGAGGCAGGTATAAGGTGAGGATATTGGATTAGTTAAGAGAGAGAGTCGCAGTAGGGGGGAGAGAGAGAGAGAGAGAGAGAGAGAGAGAGAGAGAGAGACACATTAGAGATTTAGGAATAATTCATTTAGAAGCTACATGGGCCTCTTCTTCTTTTCATCCCTTCCTCTTAGTTCATCTATCATCATTAATTCATTCAGCCGTCCCTTCATTATTGTAATTTGTTCAGTTCAGTGTGCTTTATTGGCCGTGCTAAGTGGTGTTGGCTTGTGCCATCAGCGATTCGTTCCATAATCTCTCTCTTTCTATCTAATCACTCTTACCGAACTCATCTGCAGAGAAATGCTGCGTCCAGAAAGACTGGCCATTGGTCAGTTTCATCTCGTACTCCAGCCGCAAGCCATCCCCCTGCAAGAGAGGAGCCGAAGCAGACAGGGGGGGGGGAGAGAGAGAGAGAGAGAGAGAGAGAGAGAGAGAGAGAGAGGAGGCAGGTGAGACTAAGTGTATTCTCTTGTATAGTTACAGGCTTTGTGATCTGTACAAAGTATACATTAATGCTTAAAGCCGCACTGGACGATTCTGCAAGCTGAAATGGCAGTGAGAGGCAATTCTTTAGATGTATTTTTAAACATTATTCCTGTGACATTTTGCTTTTTCCATTATAAATCTGACAATGGAGACCTACAGGACCTTTGGGGAGAGAAAAGAAATATGTTAGCTGGACTTAAAACCAGCATTTCACACTTAAAGTGTATGAACCTAAGAGCGCTGGATCACCCAGACAGCAGAAGTAGGAAGGAATTAAATTCGAGCAGGGCACACTGAAGAAATCAAGTATTACAACACCTTGATATTTATACATAAATATCAATATGATGACAATGAAGACTGGCACATTCATAGAATATTTACACATGAGAAGGAAATCATTTAAGTCAAACTGAAAGTAAATTAAATTGCATGTTTGCCTTAAATGATTTCTGCTACAAGCATCCGTAAATCACATCAGTTATCTTCTCCTTTGAAAAATCAAATCAGACACCAAAAGGCAGAAATGTTATACGTCTTAGTTTCATGATGGTGCTCCTTATCTTTGCATCAATAGTATGAACACTTTTAATTCTCCGTCTTTCTTAATCTGTCAATATGTAAAACAAGATAATGAACATTTCCACAAAACTCTTCGTTATTTAAAAAAGAAAAAAAGTTGTGTTGTCTTAACAAGCATGCAGGAACTTTGCAAAAAGAAGAAGGAAAATTGTGATACAAAAGGTCCAGTGTGTAGGATTTAGTGGCATCTAGCAAAACAATTCTTATTTTCAGGTGATTAATGAAAACATACCTATAAATATTATATTTCATTTATGCCAGTAGATCCTCCTAAATGTTACTCACCGGACCTTTAAATCAAACACTATCTAAAAGAATAAACAGAACAGTTGTATTGAAGTTTGATACATTATGTTGATAGCGTATGATGACTAAGAAAGTAGAAGCTTTTATTTATCAGTGCACAGAAAGATCACAGACGATCAGCAATGCAGCCTTTAAAGACCAGACAAACAAAAATATACCACTAAATTAGGAACATTTAAATCCCAGAGGATCTCTTTTTTCATATCCAGATGTCAACACATCACCCTGCTTTAACTCCTACACTCAGAAACCATATATGGTACAGTATCTGTAAACTGCACATTCATGATAAAAACTATCTTACGTTGCTCGCTTACTGCTGATCATGAGACAGTTTTGCTTTTCTAATATCACTGATTCATCATTTTCTGCAGCAGAAATTTTCCACTGATTCCAATCTTCACACCAGGATGTTATGTCAGTGAACAGCGCAAATTAACCATATCAGTGGATTATTTGGAATTTGTGTTTTTAAATAGAATTACTGCCTCCCACAACTTTAACGGAGCCCAGATTTCTTCCAACATTGCCTGTTACAAGATGAAGAAAACATCCAAATCCTCCTTGGGGGAGGGACACACTGTTGGTTTAGCTGCTCAGTATAATTGTGCCATATCGCCAGTCAGTCCCCCAGCTGGCTTGAAAGTGCCTCGGGATCCCCCAGGTGTGCTGAGGAAGTTAGAGAAATAAAAAGGAATCTAGGCTGTTCTGCCTTTTGTGCTGCCAGGGAGAACATGACCCAGATTAACAAGAACTGGATGGCTAGATCATATCCATAGCAACAGTTTTATCTGATTCAATATGTGACACACATCACTGATTTTTTAGGTTGATTTTAATCCGATCAGATATAATTGTTCTATATTGCAATGTTATGAAAGAAAGCACAGAAAGAGAATATCTGGGGATGTAAATGTGCAGGGATAATGTGGAGAAAATGAATGTACATGTGCAGTAAACCACAGTTGGAATGATGATTTTTGGAAGTCACACGAGAAAAAAGTGTCAAACTGAAGTGAATTTAGGAGGTGAGAAAAAAAGAGGGATGGGGAGCAGAGAACAAGAGGGGGGCGGGGGGGGTAGAGATGGGTTGACAATCAGAGCACAGAGAGCTCATTTCACACACACAAGTTCAAAGCCGATGGAGTTCGCGCTTGTTGCTGTGGAGCGAGGAAAAAGAGAGAGGGAGGAAAAAAGACTTTGATTTCATTTGGCAGCCTGAGACTCCATCTCACTCCCTCTATCAAAAAGGGCGAGAAGCATGGAGCGTGCACTGCCACAAAATCAATACAGACACAAAGAGCAAGGAGACAGAGATAAAGAGAGTGATAGATATAGAGAGGGAGAAAGTTAAAAAAAAAAAAAAAACAGGTGCAGAGAAATGAGTGAAAGAGAGAGGGATGAAGGAGAGAAAGGATAGATAAGGGAAGAAGTAGCACTTCACACAGCAGGGATTCTCTCTCTGTGGGACTGACAGGATGATTTTGGGGGGTTGCTTGTTGGTTTCAGGTGTAAAAGGTATCTGCTTCTGATATACTGTACTGATATATCACACACTGAAGGTGTCTCACCCAAACACCTGTGCAGTCTTGTATATCTTGTGCTCCCCTGGGCTGCTGATAACTGCATTTAAAGAAGACTTCTGAAAGTCTTTTGAGAGTGTGAATCTTGTCTCTGGAACATTAAGTGTTTGTATAGCTTAACAGTTTAGGGCACCTACCTCTGTGTGAAAAATGAGTGTGCACAGTCAGTTATGCACACTGGACGTCTAAACAAAGTATGTGGACACCCAAGCATCTTATCCATATGTGATTGATAAAAATGTCATAACAAAATAATTTATTAATTAATGAATAAATTGCAAAATAAACATTGGAGAAGCAGAGGCAGTGATACCCTGACTTTTAGTCACAACCAGTGGTGGTAGAAGTATTTTGGTCCTGAACTTACTAAACCTATTAAAAGTAACAATACCACACTGTGAAAATACTCCGCTACAAGTAAAAATCCTGCATCCAAAATTTTACCAAAGTAAAATGATTAATTATTAGCAGAATTTAATTTTAAAGAATCCTAAACGTAGTTTTTATGTGATGATGAACAATGACCCCTGTCAATGTTTTACTATTATATATGTTGTTTTTGGATTTATATTACTGCTGCATTAATGTGTATGTTGCATTTTACTGCTGTAGATGTTTAAGGCTGAGATAATTGCTTATAATTATAACTTATTTTATTTCTATTATAATGAAACTATTTTTATATACTCTTACATAGTTTAATCTACAGCAATGCATCATATTCTATAAGATAATCATGTGTTTGTAGTGTCACTGTTCTGTGAGAACCATCTCTAAAAAGTCAACTTTTCATGAGGATGAGTTTTCAGCTTTGTGACAATGCATTTTCTAGCTAATCCAAATAAATAATATATCATTTATTTAGCGAGAGTGGGAGATTCTCAACCCATCAATGTACAGACATTCTAATTCAAAATCAAAACAAAACATAGCATATTTTTGGCCATATAGTCTAAAGCTAACTATAATCTGACAGTAAGAAGAGAGAGAGAAATAATCACCAAATTCATAATAACTGTAGCAGATAATGAAAGTAATTGTTTGTTGCAGCCCTAAAAAAGTGTATTTTGACATACAATAATATATTGCGCAAATATTCTAGCAGAATCACACTGTGAGCAAAACAATCTACATTCATCAGGTCTGTTCGCTTCCGGTAAACTATCTCTCCCAAACAACTTGCAACACTGTCAAATACTCCTGTTATTATTTGTTATTTATTACAATAAAGAAGTATAAAGTTTCTAGTCCAAACTGGCTCCCCATCTGGCACAGAAGGATACGATAAAGATCCTTCTTCTGTATGTGACTGTGCTGCAAGTCTTTATGAGAGATATAGTTTACAATTTTTCAACTGAGGCCTGAACAAAATACAGCAGAGGTGGGTGTGTTTCTACACTGTTTGTTCTATAAAAGATGAGTCACCTGGTCAAGTTGACAGCTGTGAAAGTTTGGTCATTTTAGTGGCCTGCGCCCATTAGCAGCAAGTCTAATTTCAGTGCTTCCTTGGCTCCATGCTGAGGTAATTTTGTTTCATTAACAGCAGTTCTGCTCAGCATAATAAAGCAGAGGTTGATTACAGCCATTCAAAGCTTTCCATTTCTCCACTTCTGTTTGAAAGACCACAAGAGTAAATGCCACACAAACTAATGCTCAGACAACAGTCACTGGGGTCAATGGCACACAATGGAGCCATGTTATTGAATTGTTCTATTTTCTGTTTATTTTCAATTAATGGTGTAATTAGTTCTACCTAACGAGTTATATTACGGTAACTATAAAAAAGGCAGTACCAGAGAAATAAGGGTTATTTGCCTTTTTGGAAAACTTTATAGCTATACACAGCTATACAAATGCAATTAGAGCTGGACTATACAGTGTGATGTATGTATCACAATGGAAGTTTTTAAAAGTTTTAGAGACTATAAATTATCAAGGAAAGTACTTTTAATGCAAAGACATTTGCAAGAGAAAAAAACAGTATTCAAGCCTGCTAATTTTAGTGAACTTTAGTTACTCTGGCAATTTACTTGGCTGAAAAACCTTCCTGCTGACTGCCAGGGTCCTCTTCACTGTAATTTGTGATGACCTGAATTTTATTTATAATGACTTATCTTTTTTTTTCTGCTGATGAAATAATGATTTGCAGCCTTGAGGTTTCCTACTATAATTAATCAAGTGAAATTGTCTGGAAATGTTAAATAACCTCGCATTTTACCATTTCATTCAGGCGAGTCTACATCCTCTGGTTTTAAGGGTTGAGGATTTAGAGCCAGATTAAGACTGAGATGGAAAGTACATGAAAGGAGAGCTGGATAAGAGAGAAAAAGGGACAAAGAGAGGAAAATATGTAGTAGCACACAGAAGTGATGGCGGCGGGAAAATGCATGGAATTAGCAGAAAGCAAAGAAAAAATGAGTCCAGTGAGCTGGCAAGATGGAAAAGAGAAACCCAATTAGAGACAGGCTGACAAAGAGGAAGAAGGAAAATAGGAAAGGTAAACAGATATGAAATGGCGTGGAGCGCGTCACAGCTTGGTGACACAGAGCTGAAAGAGAGCGGGACACAGCTGAAGATTGTGAGCGACAGAGGTAGGAAAGACGAAGAGGTGTGAAAGCGAAAGGGATCTGAGAAAGCGAGTGGCGGGAAACGAGGGGTGGAAATTGGCTGCGGGGTGCGACATGCATATGTCCCCGGGAGTGGAGGCGAGCTTTTATACTTTTGTCCAACAGCATTAGGCAGCGTGTCTATCAGCGGACGCTGGCGTGACACCAAACCACACTCCATGGAAAGCATCCCTTCTAATCATAACCCTCTTCAGCCAGCTCTCGCAACAGACAGCACAAAAACAAACCCAGAGGAAAAAAATCTCTCACTCAACCACACAATCATGACCAGGAGCACGACACTGATGTAACCCAGAGTATGACACTGATAGGCAGGTAGACATACACATTCAGTAATAATACTTTTTCACCCTTTTCCTCACCCACTTTCACAAAATGAAAACACTGCACACATAAAAAAAAAAAAAAAAAAAAACAGATGCACACACCTATTCCTAGGACTCACCCTTGACTGAAGCCCTCAGTGTAGGAGGATGTGTCATCATTAAGCAGAGCTATCATTTCACAAGTGTATGATTTCTCCAGTCCAGACTCACATCAACAAACAACACACCACAGCTACCACTTTTTGCTCTTTTTCTGTCGGCACACCATTACCACAACACAGAGTCCCATTATAAAAACCACACAATGCTTAAAAGTCCCTGAAGCTAGCTAATCAATAGGCTACAGTGGAGCCCTTGTAAGGCATGTTTAGCACAGTTAAAGCGGAGAGTCACATATTAAGAGCCTTTGTTGTTCAAAGCCCCGTAACATGGTGAGAGAGATAAAGCGTTTCGCGGGGTCCAGAGGCAATTCAAAGGAAGATGCACAGATTCAAGATCAGCTGTAACATATGAAAAGAGAAGGGTAAGGGGGGTGTGAGGAGCATTTTGGACAGAAATCATAATCATAAGCTATATTACATTTTGGATAAGATCTGATGATCTGCAACATGCAAAAACATTTGATAATCCTTAATAGATTATCAGTTTTTCAATTTGCAATCGTTTTTTTTTTTGGTATATTTTTGGGGGTTTTATTGCCTTTATTACAGTGACAGCTGAAGATAGACAGGAAAGGGGGGGCAGCGAAAGGAGATGACACGCAGCAAAGGGCCGCAGGTCAGATTCAAACCCTGGGCCGCTGCAGCAAGGACTCAGCCTCAGTACATGGGTCGCCAGCTCTACCCACTGAGCTATCCAGGCGCCCCAACTTGCAATCTTTATCTCATTTGGATAAGTATTGTAAATCACAGGGTTAAATTTCCTAGCAGTTTTTTGTTTGCCTATTTCGATTACTTCGAGAATTTAAAATGTAGCCTGGTGCAAAATGCTCAAATGGGAAAGCACATACAGGGACAAAAATTATGCTCAAGTTGATTTAAAATTTAAAAACCGGAGCCAGCACAAAAAAAGAGCCTTAAAACATAGTTTTCATAGAGCCATCCTCAGGGTGTGCTGGGTATATTTTCGCCTCAGCTTTTCCCATTTTAATATCTGATGTTGCTACTTGCACCTGAAAACTGTTTTTAACTTGAATGCAAAATATAACTTGAAAATATTAAAATAGCTCCTTGACGCAACATTTCAAAAAAATGTATAGATGTCTAACACAAGAACATCTTCAGTTTTGATGGAAAGATGATGACGTTAATCATGATGACATTGGTGACGTTTGTTTATCTGAAGGGCAGCAGAAAACAAACAGTGACTACACGGGTATGTTTTTTGTGTGAGCCCTGCGAGTTTGTTTGTGTGCTAACGACAGTGCGTCACCATGGCAACAGCCTGCTAGTACACCTGGCCTTGTAGAGAGGGAGAGCCAGTGGGGTTGGGGGGGGAGCTGTCAGGGGTCAGTGCTTACCCCACACTTGCTGAGAGCGATGTACCACCATCTCTCCCTCACCGAGCGGAAACTACGGCCACCCACGCAGCTCAGAACCTCTTCGTTCCCGTCTCCCTCCACCTGAGAGAGAGAGATATGAGAGGGGGAGGTGTACAAAGAGGATGTTCTTATCCAAAAAGGCAGCACGTTTTTACCTCAGAGACACATTGAATTATCACAGTAGAGTGGGAGCCTGATATATCAAGATACAAACATATTTCACACCCCAATATAGCCTGAAATGTGGAAACAAGATCCACTAAGCGCCACAACAACAGAGTCACGCTGGCAATAACACTTCCTAATGTGAAACAAACACGTTGCGTTGCTTATTGAAAAGAGACTAAAGGAATATCTAAAAAAAAAAAAGGTGTTGCAGGAAAGAAAGATCTCTTTGACCCTTTCAGGTTGACTGGGATGCATCATCAACAGTGGAAAAGTGTGAATCAGTAAAATGTTATAAAAACACTTTACAGGCCATTAGCTCTCACTGCCTCTCTCTCTCTCTCTCTCTCTCTCTCTCTCTCTCTCTCTCTCTCTCTCTATGTTTACCTCCTTTACATATTTCTGTTCCTTTTTTTGCATTACAAAAGAATATGCAATAAGAAATATGAAAATAGGTTCAACTATGTGGTGATAAAAAGTAATAACGTGATATGGTGTAACGCACTTCATAACACAGAGGTCAGAGGTCAACTATTCTCACAGAACAGCATCCCTGCATTAGATTCTGGTAAGAGTATTTCTCAGGGACAGGATGCCACTCAGTACAAGTGTGTATTAGCGGTGATGGAAAAATTTGATTCTTAGATGCATTGTGATTCTCGCTTGAACAATTATGTCTCGATGCAGAAAAGTCAATAATAGAAAAAGGAAAAACTAAATTCTCGACATTATGATCGCCTGTAACAAAACAGTGTCTGGCTGCAGACAAAATGGCGTTCATGTCCCAAGATATGCTGCGTAGAGTGCGAGCAACCGAAGACGATCCAGCCGACACGCCCAAAGCTTAGCAGCAGCTTTTTATCGGGTGATTTAGAACATGCTGAAGTCTGTGTACTGTTATTTCACTACAAGGACGGTGCTACAGGCACACTTTTGTTTCTTATCTTGTTGGTTCTTTGCAGTAGAGGAATATGCCGTATGTATGCAAATGTAACCTTCCAGTTGACACATCTTTTCCATTTGTCACTACAATTAAAAGATAATCCAAGTAAATTCATCAGCATATTTTAATTATGGATTATTACAAATACATTATGTTTTGAAAGTAGCAAGAAGAATAAATCCTTTATAGAAATCAACAATTGTGAAACATCAAAATACATCGATAATTGTTAAAATTGCATCGTAGCCCTCTGAATCGAATGATGAGGTGCCTGGAGGTTGCCAATCCTAATGTGTGTATGTATATATTTGTGCTCTTACCACACAGCCTGACCAGGTGTAGCGTGTTGTGAGGTTGATGACCTGGTTGTTCTCTGGCCTCAGCACCGCTTCCTTCTGGTAGCAGTTCTGACGGGAGAAGACACAGTAAAATCAGAAATACAATGACTACCTCAGTGAAATTTCTGTATCTACTCATCCTCGTCCCCTCTCATTTATTTCTATTTCAGATTCCACCCATTTATTTTTTCAATAATGAAGTGCCCAAACTTGCAGCTGCGGGTTACACCTACGTTCAGCTGTATGCATATTAAGTAAAAACAGAACAGCAGTTAAAACATAAGAGACCATTTTTCCAGTTCAGAAAGTGCATGAAATTAAATGTGTTTAATCAAAATGTAATTGAAATTATGGCTGGATTGCCTTATGGTCTATTGAAGCTGCTGTAAGTGGAATTGAAATTGACATGGATATTGATGGATTTCTCCATGTGACTGCTGAATATTAATGGGAAAAAAATGGTGAGTGTAGAATGAAGGGCGTACTGTTTGGATTCTGGATAATTGACAACAAAATCTATCTGAGAGCTTTGAAATGGTGTGATGTTTATACCTGTGCTGGAATGATGTCAACATGTCATCACACGTCAAAAGATGTCAGCAATAAGAACTCACCACCAAATGATTACAGGGTGCCAAGAAATGCACTGTATTTGGTCAATCTTTTTTCTTACTGTGCTAGACCATTGTAGCATTGTTCCTTTAAAGGACACAAAACACTTGATAACCCTATTAGGTGTGGTAGTTTCCTTTTTACGCAGAAACTCACCCTATTTTAATAAACACAAGATCCTGTGTGTACTATAACCCTGGACTGGTTAAGCTTTAAATTGGTGAGTGGAGGCTACCAACGTTCGCCTGCAGTAAATGGTCGCATTATACATTATTCATTGGTTGTGAAAGCAATTTAGTGTTGAATTTATAGACTGTATCATGTTATATCTCATAGTACTGGCTGACTGTGCCATATACAGGCGAATGCAACAGAGATAAAGAATCCATGCATGCTACTCTTATAGCCAAGGACAGTGTTACATGAATCCAATTTCTGGACTCTAAAAGCCGAAAATCTCAAAAGATATTAAACCTTAAAATGATGAAATATGGAATAAGTGAGTGATCCCACTAAATGTAGAAATGACTAAACGCATACAGTGCAGTCTGTTAAGTACGTGGACATTGGTGCATTTTCTAATATTTTGGCTCTCTGCTCAGATTGGATTTGAATTAAACTGAGGTTGTAAAGCTGCAAGTGCTGACTTTCACTTTTAAGGGTGTTCAAGTATTGTTCATCCAATAATATTGTTGAGTGAACAACATCAATATCAATCATAGCCCTTTTGTATACATCGTCCCACTGATTCTGAACAATGCAGCAGTACAAAGACAGAGTTGTAATTCCTAAAATGTTCATCCAATATGGATTTAAATCCTCAAATCAAGGCTGATAAGCACTTTACCCTTTTATCACTGTTACTTACAAGTACTGGGTTAAACAACAAAAATGCGTCAATGTCCAGTGTTTTTATTTCATGGAACAGTCCATAAAATAAAAAAAACAGACATCTATCTACAGAAAATCTTCCTGCTGTCATTTTATGTGGAGCAGCTACAGTTCAGGCAGAACTGTCTGTTCAGAAATATGGATTGTACCATCCTTGATCACTGCATGTATCATCAATAATACATCATCGCCTGTGAGTGAAAAGCCTTTCAGGAACTGAGAGAGACAGCTTTGTTTTATTCTGAGCAGTATGAGCAGCGTGTGATCCTTTAGTTCAAGTTCAAATGTGAAAATTAACTACATTTGAGTCACAGGGCCTTTTCATTACAAGAATGACATGCAAATTAGTAAATGGTGATACATTTCTCTTGTGGCTTGTGGCTTGTCGAAAGACATGATGCAGAGGGTGTCAGTATCTCACCTTTTCAGGCCTCTTGTACACAGCTGGCCACTGAGAACTGTCATCAAAGTAGAGCAATATGTTCTGACAGCAGCGAGACTGCACAGAGGAGCGACAAAGAGAGACAGCATAGAGAGAGAGCACAGAGGAGGCAGTGAGACCATTGGAGATCCATACGACAAAAACGGTTTCCAAAGTCTGCAGGCTACGACAGGAATGGGCAAAAAAAAAGACAGAGAGGAAGTACAAAATAGACGCGTAGAAAGATCTAGTGGGAAAGAGCAAAGGAAGGAGGAGGGGACAGAAAATAGAGGATGAGCTGTGTACGGCAGGAACAGCCGGAGGAAGGAGGAGAGAGAAAGAGCGATGGCATCAGTTTAGATAAGGTAAACGGAAAGAAAAAGAGAGAGAACTAGTTGAGAAGATGATACTAAAGTAAAGTAAATAAAGGATGAAGAAAGAAGAAAAGTAAAACACTTGTGTTACCAGAGAAGGCAATGTAGAAGATTGATTGAAAATAATATATATTTAAAACAAATGTATGACACAAACACACAGTCGTCCTACCTTTGGATAGCGGAACCGGAAGTCCAGACGTCCAAAGTCAGTGAGAAAGCAGAAGCGAGTGAGGAAAACCCAGTCCTGAAGTCAAGAAACAGAAGAGAAGGAAAAAATAGAAAAAAGGAAAAAAAATGTTTAGCAGATATTATTTTTACCATCTTAACCATCTTAGTTTAGTGGGCTGTACCAGTGATGCTGATGGCAATGTCATTAGTTTTGCAGTTATCTGGTCATGTAATTACACATTTCTTTCCTGGGGCCAGTTTCACAAAGATAATCCCATGTTTCCATGGTAACAATCAATGACAGCTGCTGACCAGTGGCACCAAAATGACGAGCAAAGCATGACTCATAATTTGTGGTTTTCTAACAATGTTGAGCAAGCAATGAGAAAAGTAAGAGTTGGAAATATACAGAAATATATAGCTGGGAGTTTACCTAAAGGAAACAGCGGTACTGCTTATAATGCCGATTCCTGAATATTAAATGTCCCAGTAATGTTTGTTCTTAAAGTGTAAAGGAGCAGATCAAATGACTTGCTAAAGTTTGATATAGATTATAAGTGGAGTTGCAAGAACAATAGTTTACATTTAAGATGATTTATTCTGATTCTAATTAATTATTACAATTATCTATTAGTACTAAGTGTTTTGTTGGGGGGCTTGCTCTCCCATGCCTCTTGGTGCATGGAGAGCTGTTTGGAGGGAGAAGCATCTTAAAGATCCCAGCCCGCTTCCGTTCGGTGCCCACTTTAACCTGTTGGGCTGTTCAAATAGAGCGCACATCATCGCGATCTGCAGCAATTTTGAGGCTGCTCCCTTTTTTCTGCAAACAAATCTGGCAAGAAAACACTGATAATCTATGGTAAACAATATAAAATACCTGATTCTGATAAATGATTTAATATGCATTCCATGCTTGCCACCCCTTTCTGAATTACTGTCTCCCCCCACCACTGTTCAGTTTCACTGGTTTTTCCTCTGACATATCCAAATCTGCCCGTCCACTATATTTAGGAGAAAAAGCATCACTGCTGTTTGTGTTTTATATATTTTTTTAATTACATACATACTCCACATACTTGTCAGTTGTGTCCAGACATACAGAGTTGCCACTACTTGCTATCATCACAAGATGGTCCTTTTAACTTCATTGTTCCAGGAACGCATAATTCATGAGGCTATTATAAAAGTCAGCTTTACGTGTGATTAGAAGAGAGCAGAGGAGCAGGTTCGCTTGCTGACCTGGGCGGAGAATGCACTTCTGATATGAACAGCCAGGCTAGTTTGGCAAATCCACCACTAGACCAGACCAGTGGTGTAACTCACTCATTAAGTCTTGGTAAGTTGTGAGGGGGGGCATAAGGAAGAGAAGAAAATTTTTTTTGGAGAGAACTAGAGGAAATAAATGCAGCAATAATGAAAAAAAGGAGGGGGGTTGAAAAGAAGGTAGAAGAAAAAGTGGTAGCATCAAGAGGGTAAACTTCTAGAGAGGGTAAACAGAGAGGGCATTAAGGGGCTGCTGAGCACATTAATAAGGGAGAGAGGTGGAGAAGAAGAAAAACTATCCATTCTTAATATTCAGCCATAAGCTTGGCAGCATGAGACCAGATAATAGTGCTGATGGTGTATTTCACTGTTACACAGCTTACATAAGGCACTGCAGCAGCACCGCCATGGAGGATCAGTCAGTGGTGGTCTATATACGTATATATCTCAACCACTATATATATATATATATATATATATATATATATATATATTTATTTATTTATTTATTTATTTATTTATATATATATATATACACACACACACACACACACACACACACACACACACACACACACACACACACACACACAGCTGGGCCATATTCTGTGTAGCTATGGATCATAGTGCTGAACACAACACTAACACCACATCACTTATATGTTGTTTACACAGACACTATTCTTTATCTGGAGAGCTGCCCGGAGTGAGTAGGCCCTACTGAGGCAGCTGGAATAAATGAAGAGTTTTGAACCAGAATGAGACATCAGGTCTTTAAGAAAAAGTAATAGCCAGTTTTGCTAAATTAGAGCAGCATTGCAGAGGATTTATTTAGACAAATGAAAGCTGAGAGAGACCAATGCTGGAGTCTGTAATACTACAGATTTGTGGTGAATGTCTTTTAGTCCACAGGAAAATCAACCATTTTTTTCTCTGTCTGATCAACAGAGAATTCATCAGCAACAATTTTGCTTATTGACTAATTGTTTGTCACATTTTCGAGGAAGAAATTATTATTTTTTAAATATATCTGCTGATTTTCTTAGTTTTGATGAACGTCTTTTGGACTGTTGGTCAGAGCCTAAAATAAGTCATGTGAATATGTCAACTTGTGCTCTAGGGAGTTGTGATGGACATGTGTGACTATTTTATAATATCTTATGGAGCAAATGATTAATCAATTAATCCAGTAAATAAAATCATGAATGAAATGAAAACCTCATTAGTTGCAGCCTTAACATAAAATACCCCAAAAACTCTACACTAAATGTTATGAACACAGACAGCCACACAACAACTTTGCCTGGATAAAATTGAGTTTAATATTAACAAAATGTTCTGAATATAATTAGGAAATACCGCATTACAAGTAAACGAGATTAAGAATTTTATCAAGCATTAAAAGTCATTGATTCTGTGTACACAACTGTGTCAATACTCAACAAGTATTGAGGTATATTTTCTTTCAATACAAGTGCCAATACAATGCCTGAGTTTTGGCACCATTAAATTATTTCTTGTTAGAATTAATTATAATAAGTGTGTCCAACACACATGGGCTTGCAAAACGGTATTCTATCTGCTCTTTCTATTGTAGATGAGGAAATATCAGATTAAAGAGTTGAAACAGTCAATTCACTCTAGTCAATCAGCGAAATAATAATCTTCTGATAACTGAATAATCATTTATTTTTCAAGCAACAATGCCAAGTATTTTATGGTTCCAGCTTCTCAAACGGGATAATCTGCTGCTTCTTCTACTTAAATTACAGAAGAAAACTGAAAACTTAATATCTTTTTACACAGCTGCTTGGACAAAAAGAAAATTGAAAACTTCCCCTTAAGCTTCAGAAAATTGCAATTAAGAATTAATCAAGAAGATTACAGCATATTAATTGATCAAAGACTGAGTAAACAACACTAAGAGAAAGCCGACTGTAAGAACATGGCTATTTACTCAATGCTGCAGACACTGTTTGGTCAGACCAGAAGCACCGTGCTTCAACATTCAGCCCTACTCTCAGCTGTAATAATTATTTGATGTATGACTACATGTGCTTTCCTACTCCTAACTGGAGAGCTATAAGTTATCTGGCTATACCTTTTCAAAACAGGCATTCGTCATTTATCATTTCACAGTCAGTTGGACAGTTAAATTATTCTACTGTAATGTAGCTTCTTCAGAGCAGGAAATCACAATCATATAGTAAATAAATAACTAAATCATGTGTTATAGTGTTTCATATCATATCAGATATATTAATGTATATCCGATCTATAAGATCTACTTCACTGTTAAAACAAGCGCATCCAAAACACACAATCCACAATGTCTCCAACCACAGAAGAATCTGTTGCACATTTCAGCATCTTTAAGTACTCGGGCATGGTTCTCCTCTCCGTTATTACAAGCGGCCTTAAGGTTTGTTGTTATGAACTTTTGATCTCCACCCAACCAGCAAAACTCCCCTTGCACCATTATACTGTAATTACCTCTGCCCTGCGTTCTCCCTACATAAACAAGCACAGTAATTTCTGTGCTGAGAAATAAAGTGAAACCGGAGCAGTGTAGCGTGGCTAGCACTGCTGCCTCCATATATCACAGCAAACAAAACCGCAGCCATATTTCAGACGCTGCCAGCCAGCTTCATCCCCCGGAGCCTCTGGGTTATAATTCATGGCAAACTCCAAAAGTCACTGAAGCCAGAGACTCACTCCCACCTCTTTGTGCATCGTCCTGGGTGACGCTTAATGCTGTAACCATGACAACCGGGGCAACAGAGGGAAGCGCTGACCCAAAGATGAATCCCTGGAGAGATGGGGTGGTCTGGTTGGGATGATGCAGGGGGGTATCGTTTAACTCACCAGGCTTGGACTGTGAAAGACCCCCTTGTTGGACACACACACACACACACACACACACAGACACACAGACACACACACACACACACACACACACACACACAGGATTACCCATGAGCATCTGTCATATACTCTTACAGCATGACATGGCCTGCAAACATGCATACCCACACTCATGCACACACGGCACCAAATCTGTGCCCCCCCCCCATTATTGTCATAGCAACCACAGCATGCCTTAGCTTGCAGCTGCCATAGAAACCTCAAAAGGCCAAACTGTTCATTCAAAACACCCTCTCTTGTCCAATTGCTCTCATACATTCATCCTTCAAATTACCAACTCAAAAACCCAACAGCAGTTTTACAGCTCTAAAAAAACAATGGTGTTCAAAGCAGATAATTAGTTAGACTTCATTCCTGATATATGAGCAAGTTCTCTGAGCTTCACACACACACCAAAGAGGACACATATGACCACTGATTATGAATCCAAAACCTTCACCCAACTAGTTTCCAGACAAACCTTATGTACAATATCTTAAAGAGTTAACAGCTGATTAATGAAACAACTGGAAATCATCATTCCTTAATTAGTTATTTTGACATTTTAAAAAATAGTTGGGTTTTCATCAGCAGTAACTTAACTCGACTGTTATACAGCTGAAAGTGAACATTAAACAGTAAAATACAACAGATATCTGAAAGTACAAACAGGACAGAAGAGACAGAGAAAAAAAAAACTTCAAACCACAGAGATTTAGTTACAAGCTAAAAGTACTGAGAGCTCAACACTCAGAGACATTTTAAAAAAACATCTGTCTCTCTGCTTTCTGGTACAGACATGAGTTGTGTCTCATGACATGTGCTTGTTTGAGGGGGAGAAAGGGGGAGAAAGGGGGATGTAATGGGTCGGCCATGGCTGGCGTCAACGCAAGCCGCTGGGGGGCGGTC